TGGGGGTGGTGTGAGGGGGGGGGGTGTCCTGGGTGTTGCTGACCAGTGTTTTTGTGCGTGCCATCCAGGATCCTGGAGCTGCAGGAGAAGGGTGACCTGGACATCCTGAAGCAGAAGTGGTGGCCCCGCGCGGGCCGCTGCGACCTGAGCAGCCACGCCAGCGCGCACCCGGACGGCCGCTCGCTCAAGCTGCACAGCTTCGCCGGCGTCTTCTGCATCCTGGCCGCCGGGCTGCTGCTGGCCTGCCTGGTGGCCGGCCTGGAGGCCTGGTGGAGCGGCGACGGCTGCCGCCGCCGCGCAGCCAAAGAGGTGACCGAGCTCGGGCCTGCCGGCCGGCGGGACGACCACACCGTCGCGCTCTACTTTAAGGATCCCGCCCGAGCCGGCCCCAACTTATTGGAGTTGCAGTACACCGAGCTGTAGACGGGAGGCGCCGCGCGGGAGATTGAAATCATTTTTGGTCTGTCCGTGTCCCGCCGTCTCCCCATTCCATTTCCACCACATCCCACCCTTGACAATGCAAGCGCTACTTTTCTCAAGACGCAGTGTATATCAGTCAAACTGTGTGTGGGAGTGCGCACGGTTATTTACACACACACATACACGCACACACACTGCAATAGACACTCGCCGTCTCACAGAGCCACGACACACAACACGCAGCATATCATCAACACCGATACACAATATGCAAACGCACACGATCAGTAAATTCAGTTTTGTTTTTTTTTTTTTATCCCGCCATCTGTCATATTTCCTTAATGGCCCCCCCCCACCTCCACCACCACCACCAAACCTCATCTTGACACCGCGCATACACCCAAGTGTGTGTGTGTGTGTGTGTGTGTGTGTGTGTGTGTGTGTGTGTGTGTGTGTGTGTGTGTGTGTGTGCGTGTGTGTGTGTGTGAGAGAGAGAGAATTCTACTCATTGACTGGGACTAAAATGGCTTTGGCTTGTCAACGCTGGCCCTTTCCAAGGCTGAATTTCAGCTCCATGCCTAAGTGAGCCATCCCAAATGAATTTTTTTTTCCACGTGCGTTTATTGTGACGCAACATGGAAGTAAACGGCCAAAGATAAATCGCGTGAATCCGAAATGCTCTATTTAGTCAGCCTGGCTCACTCGTGGCATCCTTTATCCATCATATTAAATGCCTCTCCGCCTCTAATGAAAGTTATTTACATCCCAACACATTAAACAACCCACAAAGTGCACATCAATATGTCTTAAATATAATTAAGCTTCTTTTTTTTCAGGGGGGGGGTGCATATTCCACGTTTTCCATCCGATCCCAGCAGCCCCCAACGTCATAGCTTAATTTCAGCGCGACCGCCCGAGGCCTCCCGCGTCCAACGAGCGCCTTGAACGGCCGCCAACGTGCCGCTCGCCTCCTCCGTGGCTTTATTGTTCCCTTTTTATTCTCCTCAGTCGGCTGTGAAACACGCTGAGCCAGGAATGTCCGACACGTCTTCATAAAATCCTTCATAAGATCCCTTTTATCGTCTTCGCAAACTCCTGCGGGCATCCTCGGATCGTCGTAACATCTTCGTAAAATAAAATACAGCCGCTGGACATGAAGTTTGTTTAGCGTGTTGCACTCCGACGACAGACGCCACATGACAACTTTGATTCCCACCCCGCTCTTTTTTTGTACGATTGGGGTACAGTGACCCCGCCCCCCAGTGTGCCCCTTTTGAGGTCTGTAGATTTTCATGACTGGCGACAGTGCTCAGTTGCTAATCCAAATTAACATTTCGAATTCTAAGCCTTCAAAAAAAAACAGCATACGACACGACTAACCAGGATATTCGCTCTGCGATGCGGTAACACCGAATATGACTGGGGTTTCATTGGGGACCTTCTCTGCCTCTTTCCTCCCCGCCCCCTGTTATTTTGCCTGCATCTCTTTCAGTAGAGCTCAGATACGCAGGTCTGGACGACGGGTGACGGCGGGGTCCCTGGAGTAAAGCATGAGCAGCCGTCGGGGGCCGCAGGGGGGCAGGGGGGGGCGGTGCTTGGGGCGTGGCAATCACTGTTTTGTCTTCCATGTGGACGTCTTGTCTCCTCCTGTGTTTGATGCTTCCTGTGTGCTGTCGTGCAGGTCGCTAAGGATTACAGGCTGGCTTTGGTTTCGGGTCCGTTGACTTATAATGACTTTGCTTCGTCCGAGGGGAGGAGGGACATTTGGACAGACAGAGGGAGAGGCTGGCAGGAAGCGCATGCCATTGGCACAGGTCAGAATAGAGCATACATGCACATACAAACTACAACAACAGTAAAAAAAATAGTCGAAAGTCTTTCGTTGGTAGTCCCCCGAAAAATGCTGTTGGGACTTTCTCAAGAAAGTGCACGTGAGAGTCCAGCATTGTTCCCATCCTGGCATCCCATTTTAGTCCTCAGTTTTTAGGCTGACATCGTCATAAGGTCTTGAGACTTTTTCCAAACAAAGTCCATGCATGTGGGACTCCAGCATTGTTCCCGTCCTGACATCCCATCTCCAGTCGTTAGTCCTTAATCTTGAGCCTCGGCCAAATTTGATTTCAAGAGCTGGGGTGTCGACAGGGCGCGGGGCCGGCCGGTATTGCATTGGGGTGAGGGCGGCAGCGATTGCGCGGAGCCAGAAGCAACAAAAGCGACCCATCGCCAATCTCAGCCTCTGTGTCCAACCCCTGTAGGACAAGGAGGTGAACCTGGAACAGGTGCATCGGCGTATGAACAGTCTTTTGGACGAGGACTTGGTCCACAAGCAGATCCCCGGCCCCTCTATCGAGATCTCTGCGCTGGACATCGGCAGCATGCAGCCCACCCAGGCGGGCCTGATGCCCACGGGCCTCGCTGTGACCACCTTTCTGCCCAGGGAGGGGGCGCCGCCGCCATCTCTGAGCCACCCTCACCTTGGGGGGACCCTAGGCAGGACGCTACCGCCGCCGCAGCTCCCTGGCAGCACCACGCTACCGCCCCAGCTCGCGGGCACCATGCAGTGCAAGCACAGAGCGCCCAACGGGGGGCTCTTCCGCCAGAGCCCTGGCAAGGTGCCGCTCTACCAGGCAGGACCCATAGCCGCAGCCATTGACGCCACCCACAGCACCTCCATTTAGGCCTTGAGGGGCTTTTGCAGTTTTTCCCACACACACGCACACCTTCCCCCACCCCCCAAAAAAGGAAGATTTTTTTTTTTTTGTTGTTTTTGTTTTTAATCCAGCGCTCTTGACTTTTCTGGCGCACACGGGTGTAAATAACAAAAAGAACAGAGTGAGCTCCAAATGTATTTTGAATATTCTCCATTTTTGAAGTTGAGCTCTACAAAACACAAAACCGCATTCAAAAAAAAAATGATGATATATAAACTATATAAATATCTATCTCGACATGATGCCAACGTTCTGACTGCTCTTCAAGTTTAGTTGAAAACGGACAAGGAAAAAAATTCATTGTGATTGTTTTCTAAGTGCCCTGAAAAAGAAAAAAAAGAAAAAAAAAGAAAAGCAAACTGTTTCCATCCGCCGCCCGTTTGTTGTTAATGTCACAGTCACCTTGACAACCGACAGAAATCATCACAATCATTATCTTGAATCACCCATGTTTCATTCCCTTTCCCTAAGCTAAAACGTCAAACTTCATTCGATGCTAAAATGTTGGAGAGATTCGCGTTATTTTTATCTCGGGCCGAGATGCTCGGCGCTGGGTTGCCATGACAAACGCTGTTCCAAACACACAAAACATTTTTTTTTTTGTCTTTGGCAGCTTCCACTTCTCTTGTTCAACATGTTTCGTGTCATAAGTGTGGGTTTGATTAATTCCAGCCGAGGAGGAAACTGGAGCGCCGTCACCCAAAGCGCAATGGGGCGAATCTGTCGACATATAGCGCCCCCTGCAGCCATGGAGGAACCAAGGAAGGGCATTGTTCACTTTTCAACAGACCAAATGTTCAACTTTTTGAGGCACAAAAATGTAATGAGTTCATTTCGAGACATTGACCCTGTCCAGTGCTCATGAAATTCGCATCATTTTTCGGTTTAGGGCCCTCGCTCACTGGCCTTGGAGACGAGTTGACGACTCGAGTCTCAGCGGCAACTCCTGTGGACAAGCCAGATCGCCAAGGAGTCTCGGTAAATTCGTATCTTTTTTTTTTTTTGCAAGATCCACATCTCCATGACATTGCGGGGGCGTTACAGTGATGTCACGGACATCGCTGCGACTTCCAGGCCAATTGCTTTCTGCCCGCCGCCGTCCCGGTAAAAGGCACAACGGTAGTTTTTGGTCGTCAGAGTCACGGCCGTTGCCAAAGCGTGGCGCGCACGTTATAGAGACACCTGTTTTCACAACTGTTTTAAATTGTGGAGCGGGGGGACAGCATAATGTCCCCTCTGAAGTCATAATCGTGACATTTACCAAGGCTCATTTGGCGCATTAAGCCTCGTGAATCAAGTGAAACAAACACGAAGCGCGACTTTTTTTTTTTTCTTCCGTTCCGCTCAATAAAGCAGTCCTGACCTCCTCGCCGCTATTTCCACACACCGCGCTACTCGCCTCCTCCCCGCCAGCTCTGGAAGTCCATCATGGGAGATTCCCGAAACGAACATTAGTTCAGGCTGCCGGTTGCTTTTCCTTCACTGCCGCGAGCCGGAAAAGATGAGCTCAGCTCGCTCCATGTCTGCATAGATTTCTCAGTGATCAAAGGTGGCCAAAAGGTTGAGTGGAGACAACTGGACTCTTTTTGGTTGTTCAAGATTTTTCCGCTTGAATCGCAACGTGGACATTTGAGGTATGAGGTCGTCCTATTTCTAATTCTAGTGAACCGCTGCCATTCAATTGGAAAATGCCGCCCAAATGTGTACATTAGCTTCCCTAAAACGACCTTGCACAACTCTGTCTGCTTTGGGGGGGTTGATTGGTCACAAATGTTAACAAGCCACGCCTACAATTTAAAGATGCCATCTTGACCAACCAAGTCCAGTTGCATCCGTTCAACTTTTGGCTCACGTCCACTCGCTTGTGTCCCGGGGAGGCTTTGCTTGTCTTTAGTGTTCCAGCGGAGGACTTTTTATTTATCGACACGCTGCTTGGACTTTCTTATCTTTAATAAAGAAGTATGTTTACAACACGCCGGGCTCCTCCTCTTTTGAATGTTACCACCGGTCATCGCAAACGCGCTCTGACGTCGCCGTCGTGACGCTTCCCCGCGGCTTGTCAGCTGTCCTCTGGCCTCACGCTCATCGGCGGACGCTGACGCCGCGAAAAGGGACAACGCCCGACACGGCAAGCGTGGTGGCGGTCGGGCGAGTGGCTAGAAATGGGATGTGGTGCCGGTGATGTTGACCGGAAGAATCAAATGTTTTTTTACGGAAGATAAGATTCGTTTCGAGTTTGCATTCAGATGAAGTGCATATTCGTCGACCGTTCCCCTGCTTCACTATCGATCGAGCGCTTAGGTTTTTGTCAGATGGCGATCGCTGTCGTCTCCATCCCCGATGCCGGGCGTTATGGGTAAAAGGGCTAATTACTCGCTCCGGCGCCGGCAGCTGGAGGCCATAAAAGCCAGTCCGGTTGCCGTTGCCGTGGCGGCGAAGGGGCAGTTATGGGCCGAGACGCCGCCTGGTCGGGAGACGGGTCAGCGGCGGTAAATCGGCGGCGCGGTGGAGAGGAGCTCCGATTAGCACTGAAGGCACGCGGCGTGAAATGAAAGCTAAACATAAATATGCAAATGAGATGAGACAGCTGTGCCGCGGCTTCGGCGAAATGATTGCTGTGTACAGTGGTGCCTTGAAATCAAATCAACTTTCAGCATAGAAATGAATGGACGTGGAATAATCCGTTCCAGACCCCCGCACCTCCCAATAAAACACCCAGAATGTGGTTGATTTTTTTTTTTTTTTTTACATAAAAAAAAAAATTATTGAACTTTACCCTACTGTATAAAAACACACTTTAATAACATTTGCTCTCCATATAATCTGCAAACATGGAAAATGTATGCATAAAACGCGACCTGTGCCGAATGTATGCATTCTTCTTCTTTGCTTTCATTGGATCTCAAGGCACCTCCATCGTAGGAGTCGCGATGCTCGTTGTACATCTTACCCTTCAGATCATTATTGTCCTCGTCATCGTCATGTGACAGACGTCACAGCATCCCAACTCTGCTCAGTCCTTCTCCAACAAAATCACGACATCCACGTCCCTGTTGTCGTCGGCTTTCCCGTCTGTTCCGGCCCAGGCCTCGCCGCCAGGAGAATGAAAAAAGCCCAATGTCACAACTTTTGGAGCTTTTGGAGCTGTCAGTGCTCATAAAAAACACACCGGGACAATGTGAATGACTTTTTTTTTTTTTGTTGTTGGCAAAATTGCTGCCATCAAGTCTCTTGGACTCATCTGGGAGCACATAATAGCCAATCACACACTCCCGTTGCAGCTCGCCCACAGGACGCTCCTGGAAGTTGCCAGCAAGAGGAAGACGAGAATGGAGGAGGAAGAATGGTGCCTGGACATTGACTGGCGACCAGTCCGTTCATTATCAGTGGCGTCTTCTCAGGTGTCTTGTCATCTCTTCATTTGAAAATCACTTTGCGGCGTCTTGCCAAAAATGTCAGCAAAGTTGGCAAACCCATTTGATGGCAACTACTCATCAGCAGCTTTTTTTTTCGCACGGAGGACATGCTGACATTTTCTCTCGCTGGCATTTCCTCTCGCTGGCAAAACAGGATAATTGAAATAAACGACTAAATGGAGGGAAAATCGTCGATGGAGCATGGAAGCGAGTTTTTTGGGGGCGCCGACACAGAAACTTCCAAGCCGTCACAACGTTTCTCAGCCAGCTCGGCAACTTATCAGTGGTGAAGTGTCGGCGGTCTGCAGAAGGCGTTGAGACGTGACGCTGTCAAACAAATGCCACAAAGATAGGTCGCGCCCGGTGGAGACGCTTCATGACGAGAGACGTGAGCGGACGAAAAGCAAGAAAAATGTGCCCGAGTGCAAATGTTGAGTCAGGACAGAATTGTCGCATTAGGGAATGGACACAGATGGAAGATCATCTGTTAGAATTTAAGCACGTCAGCGAACGGACTGAGAAGGAAAACCCTTTGTTTGCGTTTTAGTATGTTAGCTAAAGAACGAGAGGGAAGATTGTTCGCATTTTTAGGCAACCAGTTAACAGAAAGAGAAGGAAGTCTGTCCATTAGCGCGTTGGCACATCTGCTAACAGACAAAAATGGAAGATCATCTTTTAGCATGCTAGCACAGAGCTAACAGATGGATGAGGACATCTTCTTTCACCGCCTGCCAATAATTTGGACAACTGAACTACTCTTCTTTTTTTTTAATCGCCCTTGAGTGTCCCAATACTTTTGTTCTGACTACCATTTTTTTTTCACACCTTCCTGTGTTAGCAAAAGTGCTACAATGTCACCAATCTTCCCTCTCTGTCCATTATCTAGCGTGCCAAAATGTTACTGCCTCTGCCCGTGAGTTGATGTGCTAAAAGGCTCGCAAACGATCTTCTGTCCTTTCCTGGCTGTGGATGTTAGAAAAAAAAAAAAATCTTGTCAGTCAACAGCAGCTGAGTGTTGCGATTCATGTGCATAAATATCAATCTTCTCCTTGGGAGCTCTGTTGTAGTAGCGGAGCCCCCGCCGTGAACCCTTCGTCGAATCAAAAAAGGGCGTAAACTAATTAGCGAGCGTGTGAATGGAGCGTTAATCGTGAAGAGCATGCCGGGGCTGACGAGAGTGGCGGGTGTCTCTGAAGTGGTGTGGTGGAGGGGGTCGTCTTTGATTTGGAAGCCATTGTGTGGCTAATCGCCAGCTTCTGCTTCCCGGCATCTTGAAGGTTCCCCGCTGGGACTCGGTTTGTTTGCTTAAGATAAAGGTTGCCCTAACTACGTCTCTGTGGACTGTTGACAAAAGTACTGGGACACTTACTTGAAAGGCCTCTGCGGCAAATGATAATTAACAAACATGCACTGCGCCGTCGCGTGCTGGGCAGGCAGCGGCGTGGTCCCATCCGTCAGCGCTGACTGACACGGGAGTGGGCGCCACCCGAGGCGCGTTGTCGTCAAGACGGACGCACGCTCATCAGCCAAATGCTGAGTGCGGCCGCCATTTTGAGAAGCCTAAAGTAACGGAATCAAGATTATCCAGTGGATTGGTTTTGGACATATCTTTGGCGCAGATCTGAGGTGTTGGCTTCAAATGAGTTTCACAATCCAAAATATTCTAGCATGTTCGAATCAAAGAAGCCTTAATTGTCCAAAGGCGTGAACGCGAAGCTTGAGTTGCTGGCATCCCAAAGTTGGCCGCTTTCGTTCCAAACATGAGTGAGAGCAACGCGAGTGGCTCCCAGTTTTCAAGCGAGAAGTTCCACGCGCAACGTCTGCTGTTTATGTCTGTCTAAGAGGTTTTTTATCGTGTTTTTATCTGCCCCTTTATTTATTGCAGCCTGAGTGCTTTTGATGGCTGTGGAACAAATTGCCCCTGGGCGATAATAAAGTCCCGCTTGTAACTTCCATAAGTCACGTTGAACTAGAGCGTCACAACATTAGGGACTCCTGCGTGATGGCCTGAGAGTCAATCAAAGAGTCGTTGATGTACGGGGGATCAGCGAAGCACTCGCGCAGCTTCACTTTTTTCCACATTTGCCAACGGCCAATGACCACCACTGAAGAAGAACAAGCGTAGACGAGACATTAGGCGCCGTGGTGTTTTATTTTCGGTGTTTGCAGGTTATGTGGAGAGCCAATGTACTGTGTCGTCTTTCCAGCTTTTGCCATCCGGCTGAAAATGGCGCTGATCATCCTTCAGATTTCTCTTCTTCCTCTTGCTCTTGACTGGAGTCCACCTGTGGTTAATTAAGCCGCGAAAACTTCTCAAAGGTGATCAGTGCGAACCGCTTGCAGCTCGGCTCCACTTTCAGCTGCGGAGCAGAGCCTGGCAAGGCTTTGTCAGTTTTTATTTGGAATACATTTTGCAAACGCGTCCGCAGCGAAAACAAACTATTTCAATGCGTAAAACAAGAATTGAATCCATTTCGGAGTAAATAGCAAAAATGTGGCGAAAGTGGAGAGAAGAGAAGGAAACGGAGAAGACTGAGGACGTGTCGTGACAAGGAGTTGATGGCGTCCATTTAGGTGACTCAGCGGGAGGTTGTGATTGTCTACCGGGCGGGTGCGAGGCGAGGAGGAAATTGGAAGCTCCGGGGGAACGCAGCGGCTCACCCGGGCTCGGCGCTCCACCGGGAATTTTCTTCCTCGCCGCGATGAACTTCGATGCCGGGGGAGCAAAGTGATTCAGGCGGAGAGAAGTCGTGATGCGCGTAAACGTGAACCTCGACGCTACGGCGGCAAATGAGTGATTGTACACAGAAGTGAGCTTGGATCAATGAAGCCGTTCGCCGCCTTTGATGCTTGCTGCTCACTGTGGGTGAGTCAATGAACATATCTGGCTACTTATATGAACAAATGTGGTGTTATCCAAAAATGTTTCTTCAATTAAAGGCCTCACCCCTAATAAATGCACAACCCGCAATAGACATCTGGTCCTCTCTGCAGGTCAGTTAATAAATATGAAGAAAAAAAAAGACCCACCCCTCTTGATAAAGCTCCTTACCTCTCTCACAGACACATGGCACTTTTATTGCGTTTGAGTGAATAAACGCCCCTACCATGAATCGCCGCCAGTAAACGAGGAATTTACTTCTCCATCCGGCTGATGAAGTCTTCATTCGTTGGCGACGGGAGACGCCAGAGGGTCTTTTACGGCCTCGCCGCAGCTTCCAAATCTGAGATCAAATCCTCTCCGGTGGGGGAATGTGCGTCGGATCACAGAGGTAAAAAAAAATGAATGAAAAATCCCTGACAACTTCTTCTGACAGCCACGTTCACTTTCGCCCACTCAGCTTTTCCAACTGCTCCACATACCTCAGCCTCTAGGGGGCAGCGGAAAAGTTTCTGGCAGGTGGGCTGCGGATTTGATGGAGTCTCAGGATGGCTTTGCGCCGCACGCTTCAGGTAAAACAATCGAGGCCGCTTTGGGAAATCAGTCCCCGATCCGCGATGCGTTACGTGCTCTACATTACAGCGCCGTCGCTGCTCAGCGCGAGTCAAATCCGCGAGTTGTGGCACACAAATTCCTTTTAGAAAAGTCCGACGCATCGCAATGTGCGTTCGAGGATAGATTTTTTTTTTTTTTTGTGGGGGGCCGACATTTATCCTACGCTCGGGGTGTACCAACATTTCCACGCTGTCGTATCGCATCGCAATGTGCGTTCGAGGATAGATTTTTTTTGGGGGTGGGGGGGGCGACAGTTATGCTACGCTCGGGGTGCACCAACATTTCTACGCTGTAACTTTGAGTGTGTAGAGCTTTAAAAGGCAGGGCCCATTGAGTGACGCTAAAAGGTTAGCCAGTCAGTGTGTTGAGTGACCCGGGGTCAATCGCGGCTGTGCAGCTAGCGTAAGGACGTATTTGTGGTTACCATTTGCTCAATAAAGCCACTAAAAGCAAATTTTTGACCCGATGTGGAGGGAGGACAAGTCGGTCTAACTTGCGGTTGCTAGGCTATATCAAAATCGCCAACGACATTTCCTTCGTTAGGTGTGCACTTTTTACAGGAAACACATTGCACTTAGTGAGACAGCGAAACCGAACAAAACACAAAATCGTACGTAAATATGCTACATGAGAGTCGCACAAACCATTAATCACGATGCCAAGCTACGTTTGAGGTGCGTCGACATTGCGCATTATGCAAATATGCGACATTAAAGGTGTATCAGCAACAATAAACAATGGTGGAAGAGTCATCTGCAGGCCAACCAAACACTAAATGTTTCATCATTTAAATTATTGATGTATTATTTACTTTTGCGTTGTCCCTGCCCAGCGTTGGGATGTTGATTTACATGGAAATTGGGTGTTGTTTCACACTTTCATGAACGCCGTTAACACATGAAATGTACATGGGAACGGTTCATAAATGAGAATTGTTCATTTGGACCCACTATGGAAATCCAGCCTTAATTATAGTCTTTGAGCTTCAGTGCTCATTTACTGAACACGATCCTTTATTAATCCCACAGTGGGCAAATTAAAAATGAAGTGTAAGCACTAATATGGTGCAAACCCGCGCAACATGGCCGGGAACAAAAAAGAGGATAATCCTGTCTTTGTGCAGATGGGGCGGGAATATGTGTTTGCACACACACACACACACACACACACGTAAAAAAAAAAAAGGGTCTGTACTTTTACTCAAGCAGTATGGAAGTGCAATTTGGCAACTCCGCATTGTTATGAAAGTGCAGATGGCACTCAAGTCGTACTCATTGACTCGCGCGGTGTAAACAAAAAGATTGATATGTGACAATAAAAGTTGTCCGTGATGGTGTAGTGGGTCCCTCCCGTTGTGCTTCTCTTTCAATGCAGTTAAAGCTTCTTTCGCACGTTCTCTAAAAGTGGCACTTTCGCTTCCAGAGAGAGTCCATCATCAGTCTCAGCGTGATCAAGAACAAGCGAGATAAAAAAAAAAAGCTCCTCGTCGCCACGACAACCACTCATCAAGTCGGAGGCAGAAAGCTCGGACGTGCGGCGTCCACTCCGCTGCGTTGCCAGGACGACGGCGGTGATGGAGTGAGAGGAGAGCGGCAATGCGGGTCTTGAGGACGGCTGCTGGTCATTGCGGTGTTCCGTGCCAACCAATGAATGAGGCCTGGCTGGAGAAAAGGGAGAAAAACATTGGTGGACACATCACAGAGTCAAAGGTGGAAAGCTTTTAGTGTCTATGCGGCGGCACTCAGGGAAAATATGACCCGGTCATTTACATTATATTAAGACTAAAAGAAAAGTGGAAGCCTGAAATACTGAAACCCATAATTACATTTTCAGCCTTTTCATGTAATGTCCATTCAAATGGTTCCGTGCCTTTTCTTCTCTTTCAGGCTATTCACTTGGTGCTTTTTTTTTTTTTTACCTGGCTTGTAGCAACACTTCTCTCCGGTTAACAGTATTATTCCTATCATCATATGAAGCATATTGTATTTTATGAAACATGAGACAACCACAGTCTTCTGTTCCAAATTTCAAATTTGGCATTAGCAAACTTGCTAGAAGCAAGCGAGAAAAACGTTTCTGCCAAAAATCATGCAGTGATCTATCCATACCTTCTATACTGGCCTCATATCATTTTTATCTGCGCTTTTATAATTAATGACGTACCTCATTAACAAAACTGGTCTATTGTCGTCATTTGATTAGTTTTGACCTTGACGTCACCGATGCTTCCTGTGGTGTCTTATCCAATCGGATTTCAGCCGGTCTGGGCGTTGCCAGGTCATCGGAGATCTGCCTTCGAAGATGTTCAGAACTTTTTAAAGATTGTAATTTGCACAACAACAACAAAAAAAATCATACTATCAAAATACAATTTAATGAAGAGAAACCACTCCATCAACCTTGAGATTAACTCCAATAAATTAAAACCCATCAAAATATGGAGTGACGTCTCATTTAACCAATCAAAAGTTGACCTTCAAAGCTTTTCTCTGATTGGCTGAACGCCGATCCAAGTTTGTGATCAGCACCTGCTGTTATCATCATTGTTTGACTTGAATTGCTAGCTAGCTTGTTTCTTTCGAGTTCTCAGGTAAATTAGCATGGTGGAAAGGGAATTATTGTCGAAAATTAAACAAATAAAACTCTACTACAGCTTTATTGAACCAAGCAGTAGAAGGTTGCTGTTTTTTTTTCTTCAATTAACTATCATCTTGGGTAAGTGGAGGCCTTTTGTCTTTCTATCATTGATTAGAACGTGGCTACAATGTGCTGTTATACTCCTCTACAGTATCAGTATGTTTTACAAACTTTCCCCTCAATTTAAAACAATTCCCATATATTTTCTCATAACATACTTTTTGGTATGCTTTTGTTGAAAAACGTCAAGAATCAAGACCCCCCACTCATATATTTTGACGGCATTTTTCGTGCCACGATCAGTCCAAATGTCGCGTTGTAGTGAGCTGAACTAAAACAACCTGAGAAGTAATATCAAAATGTCATTTCTGAGAAGAATTAGATGGAGCTATAGTCAAATAACGCAGGCAGGACGTTTAGAGTGTAGATGATTATTTTATGGCAAAGGTTCTGAAAAGTAGTTGAGTAAATATCAAAGTTGGGGGGGTGTAGATAAATATATACAGTTAGTATTTACAAGTTGAGTTCTGTACAGGTAGGGAGCTTTGTAACAGATTTATTTTCCACGTATATCTGGGTGCTTTATCTTTGTTTAAAGTGGGGCGGGAATGCAGAATGACTTGCTCAGACACATTTCCAACAATACAACAGTTGTTTAATTTCACACTTGGTTTGTCAGCAGGCATCCTACACACACACACACGTTTGTATACAAATATCAGAAAGTCCATTTTCCATAATATGGCTGCGTTAATCTCGGACACGGCCGAAATGGTGTAATATTTTGGTATTTTTAGTGTCGGGGTGCTTGTGATGTCGATTATGTTGAAGAGGACATAAATGAATGAAAGCCTGTCTGTGGAGGCGTGGACGTTGGCCTCTGGCCATCAAATGCCCCTGTGGAGAAGCCTCTTCAGGATAGATGACACCAATATTTTGGACGTAATCGCCTCGACGCGAGTAAAGGTCGCCATTTGTAACAGACTCGCTGAGTGTCTCTGTGAAATTCACCAAGCGCAGTCCAACGCAAGGCCAAATCCTGACTTTTAGCACTTGAATCATTGCGGGCTGTAACCGTAGCCCGGCTGGCCTTCCATTTGTCATTTTTCACAGCTAAGACAGGGGAAGCACAAGTACTCGTGGAGAACAACAAGGAGAAAAAAAAAAGTCTTCAACGACTTTGAGGAGTCCCGTAAACGCCGCTGATGGCCTCCAGGACAAATGGTCACAAGCTCTGCGGTGGGCCGCTCTCCATTTGGAAGGCAGAGGCATCGACATTTTTCTGTTTAATGACGTGCATGTCGAGCGCGACGCGACTCAAATGGTGTTTTAACGGCACGCTGTCACTTTGCAGGAGCCAGCGTGGAACAATTGGCCACCTGGGAAAATTAGGAGGAGGCGAGGACGCGGCGAGGATGAGGAGGCGGAGGAGGAAGAGCTGAGCGGAGCTGAGGTGGGGACGGACTAATTGGGCAGAGAAGAAGCCGTATCAAGGTGAGCGACAACGCATACTTGTTAGCACAGCGCTACCTTGACCTGATTTTCATTTTTTTCTTCGTGACAAAGTGGAAAAAAAGGTTTTTGCAAAAAAAGAACATGTCACCCAGAACAGTGACTCCTATGCTAATATCTTTTGCCTTTGTCACACCTCAAACAATAAAAGAACAAAAACAAGACAGAGAAAAGGTTTTAAATGGCAAAAAAATATATATTTATTGACATATATCAAGCTAACCTCGTAAACAACGTAACAAGACGAGATTATCACCTAATCTTCATTTTTCTACTCAAAAGCTGTGCTGATCTCAAGTCCAAAGTGATCCAACGGCAGCGATCTTACGCGATCCGTTCGTAGTCGGCCATGTTGGCCAACTCCACAGGCGAACGACATTTGGCCCGCAAACTTTTCTGAAGGCCCGACTCTCGAATGTTTCATTTCTTTTGGCACAAGCCACTGTTGTGGAGCCAGATGCTGAACCTGAAAATTCGCAACATGGGTTTGAGCCGTGTCGCCATGGCAACAGAGAACTGAGGTCGGGAGAGGTTGTGCACTTAACCACGTGACGAGATTCAGGTTTCCGCTGTCAGGCTCCCGCAACAATGTTTACCACAAGTGCTGTCATCTTGAACTCAACGTTGAATTTTATTCTATTTTTTTCTTGCCCTACTCGAATAGAGAAAAAAAACCCCGGCATTGCCTTTCACCACGGTTCTTTCTTGTCATATTCCAATGTTACAGTGGATTTTTGTTTTTTTTTTTCTTTAGTTGCTGAGTTCTTCTGAGGCTGCTTCATCGTCAAATGATTACTCGATGATCAAACTGGTTGATTCATTTGACGATGGATTAGTTGTCAATCAATTGTGACGCCTTCAAACCCGCAAAGGCTGACTGTGTTTTCGTGAGCTCCGTTCCACTCTCTCTTGTTTGCAGCCATGTTGTTGGTGTGAGCATTAGGAGGGGGGATGCGCTTTCAACTACAGATGCTTTTTTTTCCCCCCCAAAAAATCATATAAAGAAATAAATAAAAGTCATCCGGACAAATAAATTCGATTAATGACCCAGCCCTTGGCGGTAGCATGATAATGAGTATTTAATGCAGCAATCTATAATGGTGTCAAAAGAGTCCAGTGAATAAGGAAAATAGGATTTTTTTTTTTTTTTGTCATCAGATTGTTAAAGTGTTTCAAATCAATGTCTTTACTTTCTGCCTCTGCTCTTAATAAAAGTCATTTGGCGCGGCGCGGCAGGTCAGCCTGCCTGCGAGGCTGAAAGTGAGGAAAATGCGATAAAAGTGTCTTCCAATCTCGCCGGCCTTCATCCCCGCCGGCTGTGCTGCAATTTCCACGGGAGATGGGGAAACTTGGAAGCAGCCGAGGTGAGGCGCCGAGGCCCGCTCTTTAAATGGAATAAATTACTGCGCACATTCGCCCGCCCGGCTCCGCGTTCCCCACACTGCATTTGGCTCACGCCGGACGGCCGCACTGCAGTGCTTCCTATGATCCGACCCGGCCCGCGATGTACATTCGACGCGCGGGGTCGGCAATTTTTTGGCACCGGGCGAAGCCACGACGTCCTCCCTAAAATGCCGTTGCCGTTTCAGAGTTACCCGTTTTCCAGAAAGCTCGCCGGATGGCACGGGCAAGCTGGGATTCGGTTGCGCTTTCAGCGCAGTACCACTTTTGTGCCACAACGGGCTTGGCAACTTTGAGGCACGCTGGCAGACAACCAGTGTAATTAACGGCCAGATGACGTCTCTTCAGTAATACAGAACCACATTTGGCCGTTTTAATGTTTGCTGTTCGCGCGGCGCAGAGCAAAGGAATGCCCGCCGTTTGCATGCGTCGCTGCTCCATGTTATGTAAAAGTAGCGCTTGTTGGAATGGTTGTCATTGCTGTAACACCTGTGCTAAATATTATTTCACTTTATCACTTTTTAATTCAGTTGCTGCTAAGGAGCGAAGCTAAAGATGCAGCATTCTTTGGCCACAATCGTCGTAGCGCCGCGCGCGCCCATGGTCGACTCTCGCTGGACCGCGTCGCAAGATCGTTCCACCCCTTGAGAGATAAGTCAATACGGGAAAGCAGAGGATGATAAAAGGACATTAACGTTTATTAAAGCTCAGCCGGCTGGATTAAAGTTCCCGCATGTCATGAGATCAAAGCTCTTGACTTCATTGAACTCGCATCCGACGGGCCGAATGAAAAGGTCTCCAGGTGGCGAGAAAACGTTTTCATTCACCTCATTTGCATCCAAGCAACTTGACGTTTCTCTTCTTTTCTTTTGAAAAGACTGAAAGATGGTGGTCTGTGGGGTTGGGGGGAGGGGGGATGAAGGTCAAACGAATGAGGCCTTGTCAGTTATTCCATGCGCTGCTTCGTCATCATGCTAATTCAGACATGCACGGCGCTTGACGTTTTCTTTTGTTTCGCATGTCTTTAGCGTCGTCGTCGGAAGCCGAGTCCACAAGGCGATGCGCGCTTCCCACTCGGTCCGTCTTTGTGTCACCGCTGGCGTTTTCCCGCTGCGGCTCAAACTGGCGCCGCCGTCACCTCGCGGCTCGGAAGTGGAGAGCGCCGCGGCTCGTTGTACTCGCATACAACTGCGGCAGCACGTATATTTGATTGACAGACGAATTAGAGGCGGCTCTGTACTTGACGGACACGTAAAAACAGTCGCGCCCTGGTTGTCACTTAATGAAGGTAACGCGACGAGCGTATCTATTTGATTGACAGCTGAGTCAGGTGCCGTCTCCGTGGTCAATTGTCAGATAAGTGGTGGGAGGCGTGCTTGAGAGCCGCCCGATGCTAATGATGTTCGGAACACAGGAGGCGGCCGCGCTAGCCGGCGAAAGCTCACTCTCCTCGCAGTCTTTCATTGTGTGAAAGGGGAAAATGGCGTCCAAGGTATAAAAAGTCAGAAAGCCTCATCGACATATTTGTGCGCGCGCCTCCCTACCTGTGTACCGTGCGTTTTTTTTTTTCCCCCCGGAAGGCGTTTTGGCTTTGAAGCCGGCATGTGATGTAACGCCGTCTCATCCCAACATAATCCGCCTCTCGTCGGGGATCCTCCGCGAGTCTTCTGGCCTCCTTTTAGCGGAGGCTCGGGCTTTGCCGCGATTACAGGCGGGATGGGGTTGCAGGCCGCACTGCCGCAGTCTTAAAGCGGGATCAAAAGTGATTCCGGGAGTATTGCGAGGCTGTGATGGGAACAGCTGGGCGGAAAGCTTTCCCGCTTCGAGGTGAATTGAGGAGGGGAAATGTTGGGAGGACTTGTTACAGTTTCGATTCGCTTGCGTCACTTACAGTCTGTATGCGAACAGGTGTCCCAAAATATTTTTGTAGCTGTTTCCCAAAATGTCCTCGTTTGATTTTCTTCCTCTCCCATCCTGTCTCTTATGTTACTTGTTTTCACATTATCTGTTAAAAAAAAAAAAGCATTTCTATTATTTCAGTGAGGGATTGAAGCAAGTAAATGCTGAGGAGAACATTATGTTATTAGAAGGAGGGGGGAAAACGTTTAAAAGCTTGTTGGGTGTCAGGGGAAATTAAGCAAATCCCAGGAGCAGAAAAAATAAAAATGTTGTTGTCATTTGGAAATTGGATTTTTTTTTTTTTTTTCTGGAAAAACAAAATATCACCGTGATGTCAAGGAGCGCGCCCAAAACAAAAATGGTGGCAGTAAACACCAACAACACTTGACTATTTTTCACACTCGGTTTGACCACCGCTCGTGTCATCGCTTGCAGCGCACACACACACACACACACACACACACACACACACACATTCATACCCTTTGCCACATGCATAACGATGACACACGCAACATCAACCTTGCCCGCAACGATAGCTGACCATACACACGCACACGCACGCTGATTGAGTGATCACATTCCATATTTACTTCCTGGTTGCAATTTGGTTCCATGCACAAATACTGCATGAGGACAAAACATTCGGAACACGGCAGTTTTGCCCCCCCCCCCAAAATTCTCATTCATGATCTTTTTTTAATTATTTGTATTTATTTATTAATCTTCTGCTTATCTGATACACATCGTCAGCACCTCCTCTACTCTCGTGAAGTGGAAAGAGCGTTGCGGCGTCTTCCCGATGTTGACTTCAGTAAAAACAAAACAAGTTAGTGTGTCTGTTGGCTGAATTAGCACGTTAGCGGTGCAGCGGGTTAATTGCCAGCATCTGCTGCTGAGCGTGCGTGTTCCTGTTTGTGTGCGTGTGTGTGTTTAGCAGGGGCTAAACATTATTTTGCAGACGCAGGCACGCGGTCGTCACACGATGGGCGCTGTGCGTTTGCAATAAAAGGCAATGGCGTATTAGAGTCACATTCAGGTCAGTGACCCCGTGAGGAGAGTAACAGCAGTAGCATATAGGTTTCATGTTGGAGTCATCATCATTGCAACAACAACGGCTGAACTGGACTCATTAAAAATGCATTTATGCCCGCGCACGCTGCTGCTGCTGCTGCTTTTTTGCGCATGGATGCCTGTGCTTTTCTTCGGAAACGTCACCAAAAAGTGCTTCTGCGACGGGTTTGGCCTCGTCGCTTGTTTTATTGAGTGGCGAAATAATATGAGTTTCCGAGTGACGATAGCAGGCGAAGGCGGAGATGCGAAAAAATTCGCGTCGATTGACCTACAAGGACGTGAAATAGTTTGTGCCGAGGAATCGAACTCGAGGAATGTTTTAAATCGGGCACCTCGGGAAGATCAGCTCAGTTCCTTTCTTGTTGGAGATAAATTTAGGAGTGTCACGTCTTTAAAACGGCTGACGGTTCAATCAAAGCAAATCTAGAAGAGGCCATTGCTCTGTCTACTCAAACATTGGTCCTTCGGCACCGTCTTGTGGCATCCAGGGGAAATTACAGCTGGTTTTTGAGGTATGGGGGCGTCACATTTTTAATGTTTACGGCAATGTTATAAATAGTTACGGATTACTGCATTCTGATTTGACTCGAGCTTCACTACGATCCAAAGCAGGAATGATGAAGAGGAGGATTGGCGTAGAAAAGTAAAACGATCATCTCTGGACTTTGTTGCGAAAGTTATTTGTACAACTTACATGTGTTCTGTTGTCTTTTTTTTTTTTTAGGAGAAGGATTTAAACAGGCGAAAGAAGATTGATCGGTCAGGTAATTCCCAAAGTATAAAAACATCGTCCATCCGGCATGCTTCCCTCTCCCGTCGACCGCCGATGATGAAATATTGACGGCGCCTCACGGCACGATTGCGCCGAGTCGATGGAAAAAGGAGAACGAGGACACGCACACACACGGTTGGGCTTCATCTCGGAGACAAGACAGTTGAGCTCGCCGCAGAATACCAAAGTTGAAGGAGGTATATTTTCTCGAAAATCCCCATTGGCCGCTTGCTACGCGGCGTCTCCATGGCAACCGGCTTTATCTACTACACCTGATCTGCTGTTGCTCTCAGGTGAATTACTGTGTGTGGGGAGGTGGGGGGTGCAGCGGAGGAAGATTCTGATGAGGCTGAGGAAGATGCCAGGAATGAACCAATTAGAAACTCCGCCTCCTCGTTACCCTCTCCAAATGTCAGGAGGGTGCTTCAGTGTCCCGCCGCCGCTATATCACAGTTCGTTGCTCACACTGCCGCGTTGCAGATAGTTGGATACGGAGCCTGGAGTCTCGCCTCTGGCTCCTACGGCCAAGGTTCGTTGTAGAAGTTCCACGAGTGGTGTCGCATAAAAGCAAATCCCGAGAGCGGTTCTGTGCGCTCGGTGTAGTCGCCTATCAGATATCAAGATATGCTTCAATGTGTCAAGCGGCACTTAAAGGGACAGCGCGTCTTTTATTCCGTGTTGCATATTTTCCGACCATCACAAGCCACGATAACAAAGCGCTGGCAACAGTAAAGCGCCGTCACAGTGCTCAATAAATAAGTTAACTTATTAAATAAACTTCCTTCCGGCAGAGTTCAAGTTGAGAGGATGCGATGAGCTGCCGACGCCGTCTTCCTGTCGCATGCTGGGAAGCGGTCAGACCGCCGGTCTCACGCGGGAGGAGTCGGAGGCGACAAAGCGCGGGCGATTCGGCGGCCTCGGCGTTGAGGGCGGCGCGGGATGTGCTGAGCCGGGTGAGGGGCGGAGCTTCTGTTTGCTGGCGGGGTGGCTAGTGGTTTCGGCTCTTCCGGGTGGGGGCGGTGAAGTACCTGTGGCTGAAACAAATAAAATTGCTCAAAAAAACGAAACGATTCCTTAATAACAAAACTTGTAGTTGGAAACTTTTTTTGGAGGGGGCAATGCAAGATGTTTTCTTCAAATTACAACTTTGCTTTTGTAGTTTGACTTTTTCACGGGAATGTTAACAGTATTCTGCCTGATTTAACTTTTCTAGGTGCCATCGACACAGTCTACGTGCCAAGTTGAACATTGGAGCCTCCAAAAATTGAGACCAGCAGATCTTTCTCTGGTCTTCACTGACACCTGGCGGACACCTTAGGTACTGCGTCCACCTACATTTCACTGCCAGACGCTCATCATGCACCCTGCGCTTGCGTGTGCGGCGGGGTTAGAGAAGACATGCAACGTTGCGAGAAGGTGACGAGTGAAGGAAATGGTTTTGTGCAATCCAGTGCATTGTTTGCTACAAAAGGATTTTCATATAGTTCGCGCGGCATATGCTGAGGGGTGTGATGTGGTGCGGAGGAGTTGGCAAACCATACCAGGGCGTGTCGCTGAAGTACAGCACGAGTGTTTCCACTCCTGATAAGAAGCCGAGGTGAAGGTGAGGAAGCAAAAGATGAGAGAAAGAGAGAGAGGACAGAGCAAGGCGAAAGGACAGAAGGAGGACTGAATCAGTGTTATCAAAACAGACTGAGGTGGAAGCAACAAACGTGCCCGAGACCCCTTTTTACGTCTTCATCTTGGCTTTTACATCAAATCACTTTTCCTCATTGGAATTAATTAAATTGACTTTAATGCGTTCCAATCCCGCTCTAAAATGTATATTTTTTTTGTTTTTAATAAAAGAAAATTATTAATATATCAATTAAATAAAACCCATGCCCACATGAACATAATAGAAGGCCAAATAAGTAAACGGGTATTGTAAACTATGATGACTGTAGATACTGTCGTAGTCGTGTTTTGGCTGTGTGCCTTTTAAGAGGCGTGTGGCCTGGAGTGACATTAAGAGCTGGAGTCACTCAGTCAGCTTGGTTGCTTTGTTATTCGTGTGAGTGTCTGGACATGAGTTGTGGCCTACAACAGCTCCTTGTGAGTCATTTTGTGTTTGTCCCATTTTATAGGGGTTGGGGGGGCGGGTCTTTGGAGGGGGTGCCACTCACTTTTTCGAGCAAGGTGGGAGGGGATGCTGGGTTTGGGCCTACCCCCGTAAGGTCTGGAGCGTTGGTACTGCCACGGTGGCGAGAGGAAGGTGGAGGGAGGAAAAGCCTGTGGGAGGCGGGCAAAACAAAGGTTAGGGGGCGGGAGGGGGGGGGGGCATGATCAATTGTGTATGTGTGTGTGTGTGTGTGTACCGTGCGCTCACTCCAAGGCGTCTGCGAGGCGACGCTCTCGTTAGCTGGCTCCACCGCATTGGTCTGTGTGTGTTGCTCCAACCTGTCCGTTGGGCAGTGACACCTGCTGGTTGCTGAGGCGACAGCCTACACACGCACACAAACATATAAATATATCAAAATAAAGGGTCAACTCTCAAAACCCGAAAATTCAAACTGACCAACTGGAGGGTGAGCTCCGAGATGATCCGCTCTTTGCTCCTCAGGTCCTCTTTGAGCTGCTGCACCTCCTGCAAGAGAGCCTCCACCTGCGCAAGCACAAAACCAGGTTGAGACCAGCCGCTCCAGCAACAGGCCAAAGTTTTCATTCCGAAAGGTAGTCATTTGCTTTGCGCATGTCGAAAAGTGCGGTTGACCTGTGATTGTTCGCCCTCTTCGGGACTGAGCGTGTCGGTGGTCAGTGTGTCGTCGTCCGTGTCGTCGTCCTAAACGAAATGAAAGCAGTCATTCGCTGTACTGCGGGTAGAACAATCAAAAACTCAAAATCCTAAAAGCATGACTTTACTACAAAACATTTCGTAAAATATTATATATATAAAGTAATATTGCTCTCACCTGCAGCAAAAACCTTCGGAGGAGTTCCAGCTGTGAGCGGAGTGCGCCACAGTCGTCAGCCAGGTCCTCCATGTCCACACCGGGAGTCCTGAGGGCGGCGGAACTGCAAGGTAAAAAGTGATTCTGTCAATTACACTTTTCCTAGTTGGGAAAAAAAAAACAACAAATGATTTGATTTGATTTATTTATTTGTTAAAGAATAACAAGTGTTGCTGTGTCACCTTTGAGGAGAAAGATCCAAAGCAAGATCCGTGTCCACGCCGGTGTCGTCCTGCTCGTCGTAGCATCCCGCCTCCCTGACGGACGGCACCGCACAGGAATCTCTTGTTACCGCGGCAGCCAGAGTGGACCATCACCCCACCCATCGGGGGCGGGGAAAGAAAAAAAAAAAGAATGTCACCGACCTGTCGTCACTGTGGACATCCTGTGTCCCCCAGCAGAGCTGCCGCCTCCTCCACTCAGCCATGCGGGACGTCCCGTCTCCATCTGCTGGGTGAGCGACACTGGCTAATATTCAGATTTTCAAGAAACAACCCCACGTCAAAACACCCAATCAGAGGCTCCAAAATCCGACTTGCTGATTGCGTCGGATCAAGTCAACTGCTTAGTGTTGATGTTTGCGCACCGGTGTGGAGTGAAATGTCGTCAGGAAAGTCTCCGTCAAGCATGAGGTCATCGTCGTCCAAATTGTCGTCGTCCAAATCACAAGAGTCCACATTGGTCAGGGCGTCCTGGGTGGGGGAGGAGACACACACACACACACACACACACGCGCGCGCGCGCAAGAATATCATGAGATTTTTGCACCGATTATTTCAAAATGTAACAAGAAGCGACATTTAGCCTGAGCATCTTACACTGCTGTTGACGTCAGAGTCAAAGCTGCCGACACGCTGCACGTGCCCACAGTCCACCGAAGTGCGTGAGACGGCGCCCCCCAGTGGCTCCAGTCCCTCCTCGTCCCACATGTAGATGCCCCCGGAACCGCAGCTGTCTGACGGGGACAGGTCCAGGGACGAGCCACCCTGGTGGGCCAAATAAACCAAAAAAAAAAAAAAGACAACCTCATTGTTTAAAAAATAAATAAATAAAAATGAAGTTGGGGCAAGGGGGCATGATAGGTGAGAAATTTGTTTTAGTTTGTACCTGCTCGTGATCGTCGGATGGACTGGTTCTGCTGTGGTAGGAGAATCTGGTCAGATGGTTCGGTCCGTCATTGCCTGACGACAAACAAAACATTTTCAAAGTGACTTTTAATCTTTTTTTTATAGTCTCCACACTCACAGACTGATGTGATGCGTGGATGGAGAGCGATATCGATACTATGGATGGATAGAGAGAAAAATGACAGATTGACAGTCGAACTGACCGACGGGCGTCCCGTGGGTCCAGTCCAAAGTGCTGTCCAGGAAGTGCAATTCTGTCGCTACACTAACGCCATTCCCCGCTACTTGCTCCTCACAGAAGCCGGAGCACGATCTGTCCAGGCCAGAGTCATCTTCGTCGTTCGTGGCGAGGACGAGGACGCCCATGCCGCCGTTTCCTAGGAGACGAAAAGACCCGTGAGGAGGTGCCGGTTGGCTACCGTCCGACCGGCGAGGCGTCAGTTCCTCACCCAGGTCGTCAAAGTCGTCCATGTATTCCTGACTGGCGCGGTTGTGGTCCACGGATGAGCCGGACGACAGGGACATGTCCTCCACCGTCTCCCCCGGGACGGAAGGTTGCACCTGGGACGCTGCGGCTCCTACAGTGCGCTCTGGAAAACGGGCAACAACTTTTGGAAGGGGACTTTCAAGAAATCAATGAAGAATAACGGACCATATTTGATCTTACCTGGACTGCTTTCTGGCGTCCTTTCGGGGGTTTTGGCTCTCGCTTGGCTCACTTCTGCCACAACAGTCCGGGCATGCTTGGCGAGTGCCGGCCGCGAAAGCTTATAGCTGACGTTGTTAGCTTTGAGTGCCGGAAGGAGGGACTTCTTCACCCCGCCCGGACCAGCGGGACCCTCGAGAGGCCTGGCTTGGACAAAGGAGGTACTAGACTCTTTGTGACCCGGCTTGGTGCTGAGAGACAGGGTCGTGGCCGTGGCGGGCGCCTGTCGCCGGACCTCCAGGCTACGTGGGTGGAACCCGTCGCCTGTGGTGAGGCGCGAGGCCGGCACCGATCCGACGTTGCCTGTGGAGGGAGAGCGGGCAGCTGGCAGCAAAGAACCACATCCGGACCCGGGGCTGGAACTCAAAGTGGAACCCGAGTAAGTAGACCACTTAGGGGGTCGCAGTTTGGATCCGGAAAGATCGTGAAGGTTCTGTTTGGACCCAGTTAGCCTGGGTTTGGAAACGGGAAGTCTGTTTTTAGGGACAGAAAGTCCAGTTTTAGGGACAGGAAGTCCAGTGGATTTAGGGACAGGAAGTCCAGTGGATTTAGGGACAGGAAGTCCAGTTTTATGACCAGAAAATGATTTATCCAGCATCTTTGGGTCCGCTGCAGACCTCTGCGCATCCTTGTCCTGTTGGGCGGTGTCATTGTGATCCCCTCCCTCTGTCACTTCCCCGCCTTTCCTCCATTTAGTGGAATCTTCAGCAGGCGTGCGGATGGTTCCAATCCGCCTCGACGAGGGTGCCGGTTCGTTCGCGTTGCCGTTGCACACCGCGGGCCCGGGGTGGTGGTAGAAGCCGCCGGGGAGCCGCGCGGTGGGGAAGACGTGCGAAGCGGCCCCGGCAGTCGCCGTCGGGCTCGAACTTTTGGACCACGAGCCAAATTTAGGCAGTCTGGACACCGGGGTGGGCATGGCGGGGGCGGACATCAGACGACAACAATGTGATTCAGGAAGACGAGGAGCTGAGGGCCAAACAAAAGACGGCGATAAGATGTCGGCCTCTGTAAATTATTCACGACTTCACACCGCAGCGGGTGTGTTGGGACCATGCAAGATTTTTCCAGCATACGGTGAAGGGTGGTTCCGATCTGCGATAGAAGAAAGACCAGAAAATAATTTCGCTTTAAACACACTTAAACTTATTTTAGCACAATGTAGCCCTGACTCAATACTGGAATTGGTTACATGACCAGACTCAAAAGTCAAAATTTCTTTCAACGTGCATGGTCTTTCTGCTGCTAACCTTGTCCACAAGGGGGCAGTACAATGCATAGAGAAACAAAATGGAAATTTCATGGTGAAACAAATGCCAGCTAAAATGTAATAATCTGTTTTTTTTTTTTTTTTAAGAGGATAAAGAATCCATGCCTGTGGGTATTTTTGTACGGTGGACAAGGTTCCAGTCGTTATACTTTGTCAGAAAAAGTCCACATTAAAGAACAATAAAATACGTCGTCTTAGTTGCGTCCAATGTTAGCACCTTTGTATTAATTTGAGTCAGGAAAAACCCTGTCACGTGACCAGCCCCGCTTCCACCGACAGAGTCGAGCTTTAGTGATACTTTCTGGTTGGCTGCCGCCTTGTGACACACGCCTCAGTGTGTTGTCTAAACACAAACGCATCATAAAACGGCCGCTGGTGTTAACTGTGGAACAGACACACCCTGTAGACACACGCGCGCGCACCCGTGCGCACGCATGTAACAGCCCCAGGCGGGGGAGAGGCCAGACCAGGCGCCGGGTGACGTTCCCTGAGGTTCCATTTGAAAACGATGTCATCCTTTTGACTTTGCCTCAAACGAAACTTGGCCAAAAGGAAAAACAAAAACATGCTGACAAACTTTAAATAACATCAATGTGAATCTTCAGCCTGAACGCATTCTCGCAATAGCGTCATCGATACGGTTTGAATGTGATTTATTTCCTTGTTTAAAATTTGCTGTTGCGTAAAGTAGAAGTATGGACCCTCTTTTCAATCTGACTCACCGTCATTGAAGAATTTAAACTTTGCTTTTTTCAATCTTATAGAACATTTACTCTGATGTTTTACTCTCATTTATAGATAGTTAACTCTTGTTTAACTAGTTACTCTAAGTAGTTTTAATATTTACTCCAATGTAATTGTTTAGCAATATTGAAAAAAAATAAATACTCTGATTTGAATATGGACTGTTTCGATTTAACATTTTTCATGTTGGAGTTTCAAATTTAATTTTTAGCATTCTTGAAAAAAAATCACTCATTTAGAAATATGATTTACGGGCACGTACAAAATCAAAACACAAAATTTACCTGCGCAGGCACGGAAAGTGTTCCGCAGAGCCGACGAGAAACTAAAATCCACTTTTAGATGGTCGCTAAGCCAAGCACACATCGCGGCCAGCAGCTAACTGCCCCCGCTAGCCAACATCTGAGAGGGAGGAGGAAGATAAGTGGCGCTTTTATTGAAGCTTCCTGAAGCTCCTCGGGGAGGAAAAGGAGTCATCTGATAGAAGGTGCACTTACATAAGCGCACCCGTAATCCACATGTGCGAGTTTGTTCCTGGGGGGTGGGAGCAGCAGGAGCAGCAACATGCTGACTCAAAACATCCAAGTGCGGGAGGACAGCGGCACCGTAACCAGGCGTTAGCATGACGTTGCGTCGCTAAGGTGACATCACAGCTAAGGGTGAAGGGCACTTGGGGAGTTAGTTATGAACGTTCAATAAATCAATCAGTTCTAACTCTTCTATTACTCAATGCAGCCTCACACATTTTCATTTGTGTCTTCATCTCTCTCACCCCCCATCCCGCCCCCTTCCTCAGTGAGGTCACATGGTTCCTGCTCAGCATCCATCAACAATGTCTTCATGCTCCATTTGTCCGGCCAGCCAGCTGAAAACAATCCAAAGGAGGCCGGCTCGCAGGCCGAATGCATCAAGTTGTGGCTGCGCTGGCGCTTTACATGACAGCACCAAGGAAAGTGGGAGGAGCTTCCGGGTCCAGCCGGCTTGACGACCACGATAACCCCCACACCTGTCCCCGTGAGCAAGCGCCTTTCAAGCCTTTACACGACGGTACCTCCACATCGCGACAATTTGAGCTCAAAGGTGCACTGATAAGTGGAAGAGGCTATCGGAATGTGATTGGATGAACGAATCGAGGGGCGGGGACGGGCGAGGCTGCCGCGGCGTGGACAGCGAGGAGTGCATAAGTCCACACAGCTTGTTGAAAACAATGATGTCATAGTTTCATGGGTGTTGAATCAACGATCGCCACCTTAGTGTGCATGACAAAAATCTGCTTGATTTTTTTTTTTTTTTTGACCTTTCACACAGGGGCTGTCATCCCTGAATCCCCATGAACAAAGTTCACAAATTGACGCGCCCACCCTGCGCTAAAAATCTTTAGAATTCCCTCGATATCACAAGATGGCGGCAAAGCACTCCTTTTGTCTAAATTTTAAAAAATGAAAAAGCCAATTTGTGCCAATTGGGAAGGTGGGAATGGGAGAACGACTTCCAAGTAACGACTCGGCGACAAGAATGTTACCGCCGGCGTCATGGCAACCTGGCATCGGATAACTTCTCTGTTGTACTGGGAAGGATTCAATAGCGAAGGGGTTGGGGGGAGGGGGGGGGGGATCTTTTTGTGGAACCCCGCTAGCAGTGTCACTGATGCAAAACAAAGACACTCTGTCTCCTCACAACGCCGGAGGTCCAAACATCTCGCTTCTGGTGGATACGGGGCAAAGGTTCTACAACAAGGAACCGCCTTACCCCCGTCCACTTCCTGTTTACGTTGGCTCCACAGGCTCACTCGCTTGCGTTTCATTGAATTACACTCAGACGATGCCGCCATGCATTATTTTAGTAGCACCTCTTATGTTCCAAAAAATGATTTGCCAGTCATTACACGTTACATAATAAGTAATGCATCAAGTCAAGCTTAATATCAGGGAATGTTTTTCCTCCCCTTGTCTATTATTGGTTTGCGTGACTAATATTAAAGTTTAGTCACAGTCACATATGAAAAGCCTAAAATTGCATCAGACTTTTGAAATGAATGCTATCACAGTGTGGCTGTTTCAAATGACTTTGGCCAATTAAAGGCAACATCTCTCAGCATGTTCACACACATGTCGGTCGAAACCGGTTCCAATGCAAAGCATCACAAAGCATTGTTTGTGCTTTTAATTAGATTATGTCTTTAAGGAAGCAGTTTAACATAATAATGGGTGTTGTCAAACGTCTGCGCCCGTGCAGAACTCCATTGGCGTTTTGGTCACTTTAAGGCCGCTGTTTATAGACCCAGTGAATGAAGCCGGTTCTGATCCATCACTTGTATTTGATTTTCTGTTTGTTTGTTTTTTGAGAGGCTTAACATACACCATGTCAACATTGCCACGAGGAAGCTTTTCTTGTGTCTTTATGAGTGTTGTCAAACCTGATTGCCGTGTACTCTTGAGAGGCTTAACATACACCATGTCAACATTGCCATGAGGAAGCTTTTCTTGTGTCTTTGAGTGTTGTCAAACCTGATTGCCGTGTACTGTAATTCAGAACCCCATCGGCTTTTGGGCCAGTTGAATGAAGGCCCCCCTCTCTCAGCCCATCGGACGAAACCGATTCTGAACCACAACATCACCCCCATGCCTTTCACTTGCATTATGTTTTGAAATGGAACACTTGGCAAAAACGACGTGATCATTGGTTACGAAGATGCTCCTTGTCTTGAGCGCTCCCCATTCAGAACCCCGTTTGACTATTTGGCCCAATGAAAGGTTCCACGCCGCTTGAGCGCGTTGGAGCCTATCAAACGTGACATGTACCAGATGATCCTTGTGATGGACGCGCTTCCTTTTAATCGGCACGTATGTCGATCGTCATATATTTATGTTGCAAATCATTTTGTAAGCGATGTGTGTGATAGAGACGGGCGCGGGTGGGGGACTCACCTGTGGTGAGCAGGCAGCACCGGGCGTGAAAATGCGGAAATGGCGACGCGGAGGACGACGATATCTTTTTGCTTCCTTCCTGAGCTTGCAGCCCTCTGACGTCACTCCTCGGCGGTGTTCCGCGACGAGGACAAAGCAGGTGAATTTGCGGCGGATGCCGTCGGGTTTCATTTCACGGAGGCCTGACGTCACATCGCTGCCCAGCTGCCTGCTGAATCATTCACGCACGCGCAGGCTCACACGAGTGCGCATGCCCGCTGAACATCTGACAGTGTCGTCAGCTGAGAGAACAGAACGCCGGGCTCGCCGCGCCGGAAGTGGCGGCATTTCATATTAAAAGCTAACACAACGAAAGGGACTTTGAGTCCTCCTCAAACTTTTTAAACCGAGTGACACGTCAGAAAAATACTCTCCATCTAAGTGCCATCATCATGTCCAACGTTAAAATGCAAATGTGTAGTAGGCATCAAAGAACAGACAAAAGTATATGTAGTATGAGATTTAATTTCGATTCGTCACGTGCATTGTTGATCAGTATCACCTACTTGTGGTCAGCTTCAATTGCTTCATGACTCGCTCTGTACTTCTGTATTCATGTCCTAAAAGTGTATTTTGTTCGGGTGCCTTTGATATGTGTGTCTGTGCGCATTATATCTACTTCAGCGACAGCTTCTGAAGAGAAGATCCTTCATATATCCTTCTAAACGACATCATTAACATCCAAACGAAGTGTCAGTGTGAGTTTGATGTAAACTGCTTTCGAGGAAGTAGTGATGACCTTCAGGTGCTGTGCTGTGTTGCTCTGTCCACTGGGGGGCAGCATCGGGCACGGCTCGAGGATTTTTTTGTTTCCCCCAACAGCCCTAAAGAGAAACTGAGAAAATAAAGTCAGTATATTTTTTGTAATGTGATATGAAATGCTGGAGCGGCGTAAAAGGGCCCCACACACATTTCTCGTGGGGCTATGGCACAGGCGAGCGCCGTTTACTGTCCTGCACCACTTCGTCAACAGTTAAAGTCACCGACTTGACGAACGGATTGCAAATAACACTCGGATGAGATTCGATGCTCTGCAATTTGTCATCCGCGAATGCGTGTGAAGGAAAATGTAAAACACGCGCGGAGGGGCGGGAGTGGTGTTGGGTTGGGGAGCCCTAACGTGGGGGCGCACGGAGCCTCACAGCAGCAGCCACCGATGGCACAGACGAGCAAGCCATGGCCACCTGGGACGCGCGCAGCCAGTGGCCAGCGACCACGGCGGGCGAAGCGTCGTGGGAGCGGGGCCACGACGCCCCCGCGGGCGCCCCCGGAGACGTGAGCTTGGCTCGTGCGCTGACCGGCTTCGTCCTGTGCGCCCTGATCGTGTCCACGCTGCTGGGGAACACGCTGGTGTGCGCCGCCGTGGTCAAATTCCGCCACCTGCGCTCCAAAGTCACCAACTCTTTCGTCATCTCGCTGGCCGTGTCCGACCTGTTCGTGGCCGTTCTGGTCATGCCCTGGCGCGCCGTGTCCGAGGTGGCCGGCGCGTGGCTCTTCGGCCGCTTCTGCGACACGTGGGTGGCCTTCGACATCATGTGCTCCACGGCGTCCATCCTCAATCTGTGCATCATCAGCATGGACCGCTACTGGGCCATCTCCAGCCCCTTCCGCTACGAGCGCAAGATGACGCGCCGCTTCGCATTCGTCATGATCGGCGTGGCGTGGACGCTATCCATCCTCATCTCCTTCATCCCCGTGCAGCTCAACTGGCACCGAGACGCGCGCGCCCTCAACGCCACGGGCGCCACCGCGGATCAGCGACGTCAGCCGCAGGACGACTGCAACGCCAGCCTGAACCGCACGTACGCCATCGCCTCGTCGCTCATTAGCTTCTACATCCCCGTACTCATCATGGTGGGCACGTACACGCGTATCTTCCGCATCGCGCAGACGCAAATCCGTCGAATCTCCTCGCTGGAGCGCGCACCCGCCGCCGCGCCGGCCCCTCGCGCGCGGGCCTCGGCGCAGGACGAGAGCGCGCTGAAAAGTTCCTTCAAGCGGGAGACCAAAGTGTTGAAGACGCTGTCCATCATCATGGGGGTGTTCGTCTTCTGCTGGCTGCCCTTCTTCGTGCTCAACTGCGTGGTGCCCTTCTGCCAGGCCGCGGATGCGCCCGGCGCGCCGCCCTGCGTCAGCGACACCACCTTCAGCATCTTCGTGTGGTTCGGCTGGGCCAACTCGTCGCTCAACCCGGTCATTTACGCCTTCAACGCCGACTTCCGCAAGGCCTTCTCCACCATCCTGGGCTGCAACCGCCTGTGCGCCAGCTCGGCCGTGGAGGCCGTGGACTTCAGCAACGAGCTGGTGTCCTACCACCACGACACCACGCTGCACAAGGAGGCCGCCGCCGTCGCGCCTGCCGGCCCCCAGCGCAACTTTGACCAAGTGTCGCTGGTGTCCGACGATTCTCGGAACCCTGCCGACCCCCTGCTGGCTGCCGCCCTGCAGAGTCGGTGCGAGGCCGACATCTCGTTGGACGTGACACCCTTCGGTGACCCCTACGCCGACCCCTACGCCGTCCCGGGTCACGTGCAGGACATGTGAGGGAGGATTCGTTGCAACCGAGCTTCATTGACAACGATTTCCATGTACTCATTTTTTTGAATCAGAGATTCAAGTACATTTTTCTAGATTACTTTTTTTCCCGCTGCTTCCAAATCTGCCTTTGTTTTTTTTCTCTTGTCATCTTTCCATAATAATAATAATGCGATCACAATAATATATAATAAATGTAGTCCTACTAAAGAATTGTTTGTTTGTTTTAAAGTGTTTGTTGAACACGTTTTCCGGCTTGCAGCCATCCAGCGACGAGCCCATGAAAGCGGCACCGAAGATGAAAGTGAAAGCGTTGAAGGCCTGCGGGCGGCTGGCCTGCCTGACCTTTGACCCTCTCCCCCCCTCTCATGTGTGCATGTGGACACAAGTGTGTGTGTGGATGTGCGTCTTCCTTTTTATATGCCTCAAAAGCTTGCTTGTGTCCTTTCAAAGTGACTTTGAGACGCGCGCGCACACACACACACACACACACACACACACACACACACACACACACACGCACTAATAATAATGCGATCACAATAATATATAATAAATGTAGTCCTACTAAAGAATTGTTTGTTTGTTTTAAAGTGTTTGTTGAACACGTTTTCCGGCTTGCAGCCATCCAGCGACGAGCCCATGAAAGCGGCACCGAAGATGAAAGTGAAAGCGTTGAAGGCCTGCGGGCGGCTGGCCTGCCTGACCTTTGACCCTCTCCCCCCCTCTCATGTGTGCATGTGGACACAAGTGTGTGTGTGGATGTGCGTCTTCCTTTTTATATGCCTCAAAAGCTTGCTTGTGTCCTTTCAAAGTGACTTTGTGACGCGCGCGCACACACACACACACACACACACACACACACACACACACACACACACACACACACACACACACACACGCACACACGACCTAACACAACATAAAGTGAAAGTATTTTGATATAGTGGACTACATGTAGTTCACTAGTGACTCCAATTTCTGTTGGGAATTATTGTTGGAATGATCAAATAATTATTTGATCATCAGCCAAATCCCAAATATTTTTTTGGTTTTGTTTTCTTTTTGTGTGATTGTATCAAGCTGCAGTCTTGCAACTTGTGACTCGGTGTTCGAGGCGAGCGGGAACAGGTGTGCCTCCTCCTGAGTGTGGCGCAGGTGCGAGCGATGGCGGCTGACGAGTGGCGTGAGCAGTATTTAAGCAGCAAGCGTCTGCTGCCGTTCATGCACATGCTTCCCGTCTCGTCTCCTGTTGTGCAGAGTCTCGGCTCCCCGGGTTTCGGACATGGGGCCAGGACTCGCTGCAATGTAAGTTGGCTTTTTTTTTTAATTTATTTATTTTTTTTTGTGAATTCTCACAAGCATTTTTGAGTTGTGCCTTTTGCACGAGATGTCAGAAAGCAGAAATCACCTCTTTCCATTCATGTAGAGCTTTGTTAATATCGTACATGGTTACCTTGGGGCATTTAACATGCCGCTCTGCATCAAGCAAGTTCTCAAAACGGCTCCTTGTCACTATTGCTGGCATAGATGAATGACTATTTGTTGGCTTTTATTTCCTCCAGCAATTTGAGGACGTTGCTCATGTTATGCAGACGTTTGACTTGTTTGTATCGTGCAGGTTTTCTTGGATCTGCTTGCTGTTATTCACCAATGCTGCAAATGTCCCTGTGGAACACAAGTGTAAGTGCCCAATCAAATGTGGCTTATAGTTCAAAACTTGCTGCAGTATCAGACTTTTATAGATTTTTTTTTTTTTTTCCTTCCCTGCAGACCACCCCAGGCCTCTATACAAGTCAAGCGCCGGGCCTGCACTGCCAACTGAAGGCCTGCGCCCATCCCTCATGACCCTGCAGAAGCAACATTCAAAAGTGTACTCTGCAGTCCAGGATTCCGACCCCACCCCTGAAAGCCAGTCCCCATCCAGCCCCTCAACTCCAGGTGTGGTGTCCTCGGGCTATGCGAACCAGCGCTTTGTGGCCTATGCGGGCAATTCCGACAAGCCTTCAAGTGCTCCTGCGCCCCCCGCTAACAAGTATGCCAATGCTCCCGGTTCAGGTTCAAGATGGGCACTTTATGATCAGACATCCAGCTACAGACCCTCAAATCCCGAGGACCAAGTCGGCATGGCTAATCCAGGTGTCCAGCGGCACCGAAGTTGGGTATTGCAATCTTCCGGCGACAGGACCTCAACCGGTGGGCTCAAATTAGATGCTGTTAAGGGGCAGCCAGCAGTGAATGGAGGTGGCAACCTTCTCCCAAGTTGGGCAGAATACATTTCGGTTTATCAGCCGCCCTCCAGCTATGAACCCCCAACTGCTTCTTTGCCCCTGTCTGGTGGTGTCAAAGTAAGTAATCCTCAAGCAAATATAGGTTGGGCAGCGTACCATCCAATTGATGTGCAACCTTCTGGCCACAAACGACCAGCAAGTTTAGGGCAAGTAATGGAGACTCCAGCTGCAGGCGTGCCCTCAAATTGGCCATTCAATCCAGTATACATGCAGTCTTCAACCTATGAATCAACTGCTCCAGAGGTTCCTTCTGGTGGTGTAAAAGGGAGTCTTCCTGGTAAAGGGAAGGAGCAAGCTCAAGCCAATTTGGTTGGAAACCTGCCCCCAAGTTGGGCATTGTTCAATCAAGTATTTACATCTTCTGGCTATGAATCCCCAACTGCTCCAGAGAGCCCTGTCACAGCAAAGGAACAGCCTGCAGCTAATCCAGGTGGCTATCTTAAAGGTTGGCAAGTGTACAGTCCAGTTTATGTGCAACCTCCTAGTTACAAACCCTCCACAAGTGGCGTTAACACAGTCAAGGGACAGCAGGCATCTCATCCTAGTGGCACGATGCAAAAAAGTTGGACAGCATACGGTTCAGTTGAAGCCCAACCTTCCAGCTCCAAACCAGCAACTGGCGGACTTGTCAAAGGGCAGCCAGCGTCTAGTCCAGGCGACCACCTGCAACAAGAAGGTTGGTCAGCATACAGTGAAGTCTATCCACCAACTGGTCCTGTGGTTGCGCCTAGCACTGGAAAAGGGCAGCAGGCATCTCAATCCGGTGGCACCCAGCAACAAAGTTGGGCAGCATACAGTGAAGTCTACCCACCATCCAGTTTCAAACCACCAACTGCCCCTGTGGTTCCTCCTGGCCCTGTGAAAGGGCAGCAGACATTTCATCCTGGTGGCCTGATGCAAAAAAGTTGGACAGCATACGGTTCAGTTGAAGCCCAACCTTCCAGCTCCAAACCGGCCACTGGCGTACTTGTCAAAGACCCGTCAGCATCGAGTCCAGGTGACCACCTGCAACAAAGTTGGGCAGCATACAGCGAAGTCCATCCACCGTCAATTTTCAAACCACAAACTGCTCCTGGTGGCACGATGCAAAAAAGTTGGACAGCATACGGTTCAGTTGAAGCCCAACCTTCCAGCTCCAAACCGGCCACTGGCGTACTTGTCAAAGACCCGTCAGCATCGAGTCCAGGTGACCACCTGCAACAAAGTTGGGCAGCATACAGTGAAGTCTATCCACCGTCCAGTTTCAAACCAGCAACCCCTCCTGGCCCTGTGAAAGGACAGTGGGCATCTCATCCTCGTCGCACCATGCAACAAAACTGGGCAGCATATAGTAAAGTCTATCCACAGTCCAGTTCCAAACCAACTGCTCCTGGCCCTGTGAAAGTGCAGCCAGCATCTCATCCTGGTGGCACCCTGCAACAAAACTGGGCAGCATATCGTGAAACCTATCCACCAACTGGTCTTGTGGTTCTTCCTGGCACTGTGAAAGGGCAGCAGACATCTCATCCTGGTGCCACCCTGGAGCAAAGTTGGACAGCATACGGTTCAGTTGAAGCGCAACCCCCCAGCTCCAAACCGACAACTGGCGGAGTTGTCAAAGGGCAGCCAGCACCTAGTCCGAGTGCCGACCTGCACCCAAGTTGGGCGGCGTACAGTCAAGTCTATGAGCCGTTAACCGCTCCTCTGGTTCCTCCCGGTGGTGTAAAAGGGAGTTCTCACAGCATTGTTAAAGGCCAGCAAGCATCTATTCAAAGTGGCAATCTACCCACAGGTTGGGTTGACTACAGTCCAGTTAATGTGAAACCTGCAACTGGTTCAGTGAAAGTTAACCTTGCAAAGGGGCAATCCGCAGTGAATCCAGCTGACAGCCTGCTTCCAAGTTGGGCATTGTTCAATCCAGTATTTACTTCTTCTGGCTTTGAATCCCCAACTGCCCCCGAGACCCCCGTCACGTCAAAGGGACAGCCTGCAGCAAATCCCGGTGACAACCTGCCCAAAAGTTGGGCCGTGTACAGTTCAGGTCATGTGCATCCGCCAAACTACAAACCCTCAGCTGGTGGTGTGAAGCAGCAGCCAGTCGTAAACACAGCTGATCTGCTCCCAAACTGGGCAGCATACAGTCAAGTCAGTCATCCACAAACGTCTCTGGACATTGTGAGAGGGCAGCCGGCATTTAATCCTGTTGGCACCCCGCAACAAAGTTGGGCAGCATACAGTTCAGTTGAGGTGCAACCTTCCAGCTCCAAGCATGAAACCGGTCTAAGGCAAGTTGATCCTGTGAAGGGGCAAAGAACAGTGAATCCAGTTGCCAGCCTGCCTCCAAATTGGGCAATCTTCAATCCAGGTTACTTGTCATCTTCTGACTCTGAATTTCCAACAGCTCCAGAGGTTCCTGCTGTTCCTGTTAAAGTGAGTCCTCTTGATCCCGGAAGGAGGCAAACCATTGTGGATGGAAACCAACCTCAAAGTTGGATATTAGGCCATCCAATGTATGAGCCAGCTGCTTCTGAGAGTTCTGTGCCCGGAAAGGACCAACCTTCAGCTAAACTGTATGGCAAACTGCATAAAGGTTGGGCAATGTACAGTCCGGTTGTTGTGCGACCTTCCACCTTTAAACCCTCAACTGGTGTTGACACTGTAAAGAGGCAACCGGTATTAAATGCAGGTGGCAACCTCCCCCCACATTGGACCGCATACAGTCAAGTCTATCATCCACCAGCTTCTCCTGTGGTTTCTCCTCCCAGCACTGTGACAGGGCAACTGGCATCTCATCCTGGTGGCAACCTGCAACAAAGTTGGGCAGTGTACACTTCTGGCACTGGGATGGGGCAGACTCCTGGTTGGGTGAAAGTAGCTGCACCTGCCGGCAAAGGACAACATGCATTCTCTGAAGCCAATCTAGCACACTCAACTGGTGGCGCCAAAGGTCACACTGGTAACGGCCAACCAGCACCACATCCAGATGGTAACCTGCACCAAAATTGGGCCGCGTACAGTCAATTGAATCTACCGTCCAGCTACAAACCAAGTGGCACTGGTAATGAGCAACCTGAAGCCCTTCCAGGTGCCAAGCAGCCTGCAACTCCTGCCAACAAAGCACCAAGTGGCGTTGGAGTTCTAGTCGGACCGTCCATCAGTAAGGGCGAGCCTGCAGCGAATCCAGGTGGCAACCAGCACCCGAAATGGACATCGTACAGCTCGGCCCGCTATTGGTCACCCGGTTTCAACCCCTCAGTTGCTCCTGTACCCTCTCCTGTTGGTGCTCATGTAAGTCTTCCTGCTGACGCTGGAAACTGGGGTGCAGGATCTGTTTCAGGTGCAAAGCTGGGCTCCGGTTGGGCGGCATATGGGCAAATCAATAATCCATCGTCAAACTACAAACCCTCAAGAGCTCCCGGTTCTGGACACCAGTCCTCTCAGGGTGCGGCCAAACAAGTATCTGGTTCACTTTCAAGTGGTGGCGTACAAGTGAGAAGTCAAAACAAGTTTCCTGCTCATCCAGTTGGTCTCCTTGCCAACTGGCCATACCTTCAAGTGGATTCCAACGCTCATGCCACATCTGGACTTAAAGGCTATCACTCTGCCGGTGTTCCCAACAGGAGCCCTTTGAAGTGGATCACTTCCCATCCAGGCCACCCCGGACAAGATCTGGTCCGATTTCCAATGGAAACCAGTGCACCCTGGTTGTCATCTCAAGTGTTTGCTGATGAGTTGCCAGAGGAGGAGGATGATGACTACGACGATGAGGAGCTTCCAACTTCTATTGTTCGTAACCGAAACGGCTATCAGCAACAGCGCAGAGAATTCTCCAGAATGCATTATTTCCAAAAGGATGAGCAACCCTACGTTCCCTACCTGAGAAACAACCAGAGAAGATCTCCAAAGGTCTAAAGAGGTAAACATTTATTTATAAACCCCACTCAACAGTCACTTGTATTAACTTGCATTTTTTTTCTTCTTCCCTTTTGTAGGATGAACATGCTGCGTCGATTCCCTGCTGAATAAGATTTAATAAACTAAAGAATCAACTAAACTATTTGACTGCCTTGTCTTTTAATGATCTGTAAAGTTGTTTACGGGTGTTGCTGTCTCACATTAGATACAGACGTGGTGCGTTTCAGTTTTAACTTCGAGTTATGATTGTTTACTGACGCCATCATTGAAGTACAATTGCGACCGACAAACCTGAAACTTTGAAGCAAGTCAGTTTTGCTCTGTTAGTAAACTGACTTATTCAAATCCTGCTTTCAATCAGTTTTTTTTTTTTGGCCAAACATGCAAATTTCTGTTTGCTGGTTTGAGTATTTCATGAGCTTATACTTGGAAAATGTCTCCAATGTTATGGCCAAAGTGGAGGCCTGGCAGGTGATGTGGCAGCAAAGTCCACTGTTGACAAACCTCTCTGGCAGGCAGACAAGCAAGTGTCTGAGAAAGCGGTAGCTCTATCTCCCAAGATGAGCTCTGCATGCTTGTTGCCTGCTAAAAGTGTCGCTGATTGCTGGAGAGGCTGCGTGAAGGAGTCCGAGTGGACCACTTGTGCTCTCACCATCAGTGGTGCTGGCTCTGATTGTGGCCCTTCAGTGGGAAAGTGTCGCTAACGCGAGGATGTCGATGCTTTGTTTGACAGTCCGCCGTTTGAAAGGGAAAAAAACAATCCTATTAGTACCAAGATGAAAAACCCAGCACTGGCTTTGTGAGTCACGTGTAGATTTCAAACTCTTACTGTTGCTCTTGGATATGAATATAATCAAGACCTTTAGCTCCCTATTACAGTGATGCTTACGTATGCCAAGAACCACAGAATTGAAGCTGCTCAAGCTGCTTTTTTTTTCCCTCCCTCCTCTTTGTCAGGTTGTCACGGTGATGTTTCATTTTGTCAGCATCTGAAGGTCCACTCCAAAACTGACATCTCTTTGCAATTTGCCTTTGTGTCTTGATACAAACTAGCCAGGAGCACATGATTACTTGCTTGTGTGTGATGAGCCATTCTTTTGATCTTATGTTGGCATGCATAGGGGTCACTGTCTTTTAGTTTGCTACAACTTCACTAAAACGCAGGCGGACAAAAATAAGTAAAAAAATAAATATATTCTCACAGCAGTTTCAATGAATATTGTCAAATTACTCCTGAGACACGCTAATGTAGACTTAAGATAATTTTCATGCTTTCTTTCCTGGCCATTTTGTACTCAACAGTTCAAATGACATGGGTAAAATGAATGCATTTGGAGATTTTTTAAAAATATATCAATGCTGTATTTTCTTATATTCCCTCAAACTTGTTCTCCCCTTTTATAATAGTCCAGGGTTGGGGTCAAACATTTTTTCACAGGGGTCACGTTTGAATCTTCGTCTCCATGATTGACAAACAAGTTCTCGCGATTTGTGAAGATACGGAAGTAATTTCATTATCTGGGCGGAGCTAATTTTATTTCCCTCCAAAATCCACGCCAGACTAACATGGCCGCCTTTCCCAATCAAGGTATTGTCGCCAGTCAAGCGAGTTCGGACTTAAAGTACAGTTTCGTTCATGGATGTCAGCTTGTTCGGGGTCCTAATAGTTAGAAAGAAAACCCCACCGCATTCTGGTTCTGTCCAAACATGGAACCGTCTGAAGATTGCGACGAGGCCTTTTTTGTTAAGAGTCAAACCAAGTAGTAATCATGCAGAGCGGCGAGGGACGGCAACGCAATACGGGGTATGTCCGTTTATTTGTTTATTTAGAATTTGACACGTTCATAATTTGTTTGTTTAAAAGTCAAAAAAATCAAAACAGGCGTCAGACGTCTGATTGAACTAGTCGTGCAGATGTAGTTTTCCAATTTGTCCACTAGGTGTTGCTATGCTTTCAATTTGTGTTCACGTTCAGTCGTCGCTTCCAAAATGTCAGTTTACGCGTGTCTTTTTAATATTTTTACTTTGACGTCACAGACGTTTTCTATGCACATTGTGCTCTGTAGCCAAATAAGACTGGTCACCACTCACTTTCAGGGCACAGGGAGACAAACTATGGACTCGTTGCTTATTCAATTTCAGTGCACGTTATGGACTGGTCTCCAGTCTGGGGAAATAAGTAGTAGTAGTCAGAGTAAAGATGACTTTTGAATTTAATCAATCTCTTCGTTTGGACAAACAACAGTGACTGAACATTTTGCCATGGAGGAAACATTTCAGTGTGTGGAAATGAAGCCCCCTCCCTCTTATGAGGCTTCACTGCCTGCGGTCATCTTCACACTCTCGAGCTCCACCTGACCGGTGGACTGAGACGTGGATACGGACGACGTCCCTTCAACCGCCCGTTTGCAACGCAGTCTTGGAGGCACGGCGGCCAGGAGCTCTTTCCTGAAGACAGAGCTGGAGAAGACGTAGAGGATGGGGTCCAGAGCCGAGTTGAGGAAGTTGAGGCTCAAGGAGACAATGTTGAGCTGGGTCAGCGCGTAGAAAGCGGCGCAGTCCCACGGCCGCAGGGAGCGGCTCACCCAAAGCCCCAACGTGGTGATGGTGGTCGGCAGGAAGCACACCAGGAAGATGGCCACGACGGCGGCGCACACGCGCATGGCCTTGCGCACCTTGGCCACATTTCCCATCTGCCGACGCTTCAGCGAGCGCGAAATTTGCACCGAGTAGAAGACCAGGAGAGCTAGCGCGATGACGAACTCCAACACGGTCAGCACGCGGTGCGTCTCCACCAAAATCACGATGCCTGCCAGGAGACGTTTCAGGCTTTAGTGCCATGCTCCTCAAACATTTCACATCTCGAGAAACAAAAATAACTATCTTTTGAAATAGTTTGTAATTGTAAATGATGTTTTTTTTTTCAGAAACAGTTCTAAAAAATAGAAGGCTTTTTTCTGGATAAAATAAAATAAGACAAATTGCTTCAGTGAACCGTTTTGCCGAACTTGTAATTTGGTTGTGCTACTAGCAAAAAAAAAAAAAATGTACATGGTGCTTGGGGCTTGATGTGAAAAGGATATGGAGTGCCGGATGTTTTGCGTGACTACCGCGAGCGGTCTCCTTGTAGGCGGTGAAGAAGAAGCACTGCGTGGCATCGCCGCTGCCCTTGATGTGGTTGTAGGCCAGCATGGGCACGCGAGGACTGCTCACTAGCAGCCACACCACCAACGACAAGATGCCAGCCTGTCGCTTGCTCATGCGGTTGAAGCGGTGGTGAGGGTGGACCACCTGCGGGCACGCGGCGCGTCGTACAAAAAAAAAAAAAAAAACAGCTTTGCAGGTTAGCATTTTAGCTTGAGGCAAGAACAAGAAATTGACCAGAAGTGAGAGTGCTTGTTTGTCTCAGGAAATGGGGCAAAAAAAAAATGACACTGTCATATAAGTCATGAGTCAAAAGGGCGGGTGCACTCTCACCTTGACGTATCGGTAAAAAGCGATGACTGTCATGAGCGCGATGCTGGCGGTGCGGTTGGAGAACATGAGAAAGAGGTTGAGGCGGCACACCACGTCACCGAAAACCCAGTGGCCCCGCAGGAGGGCGTCGATGCGTAGCGGGAGGCTGACCAGCGCCAGGAAGTCGGCCGCCACCATGTTGACCAGGAACACCGTGTTGGCGCTCCAGGACTTGACGCGGAAGCAGAAGACCCACAGCGCCACCGCGTTGCCCAGCAAACCCAGCACCACGTCCACCGTCAGCACCGGGGGTAGGATCACGCCCTCCAACTGGATGCCCACCGGCGGGCACCCGCCCCCGCCACCGCCGGGCGCTGGCGTGCTCCTGAGGTCCAAATCCATTGTTGATGTCTTACAGGCTGTTTGTGATTTCAAGAGGCAGGAAACTTGCTGCTTCTGCTTTTTACATGACCAAAAAACACTTTCTTTCAACATCTGCAACTTTTTTCCTCTTCATGTTTTTCGGCCTCCCTTGCGCCAACAACCTAAAAATGTTTTTTTTGGGGGGGTGGGGTGGGGTTGTTCGTTTTTCATTAACAACAATGTTGATCCAAGGTTAAAAAAAAAGAACTTAAAACTCAACAATTAATAACTATCCAATAGGCGATTATTTTCATATCGATTCACTGTTTCATGTCGTCATCAATTTTGTATTAATTCATTCAGTAAGAGATGACGTTGAACTTAAAATTGTCCAAATCGTCACCGTTTCAGTTTCTGAACAGTCAATATTCTGATGATGATCATATTCTATGTTGCAAATAATGTGGCCTTTGTATGTGTTTATTTATTTCTATTTTTTTTGCAGCTTTTGAATTGAATAAGCGAGGAGCGGTGTGATGTAAGCGTCGACTCATGCCTCACACACGGGAAGTGGTTGAAGCGTGAGCGGCACCCACGGCAAAGAAAGGTCCCCGGCTGCGCCGTTAGCTTTCCACTGCTAACCTTGCTCATGGTCAGCTTCCTGTTTGGGTTTTGTTTGCCACATCTTCAAAAGACACCCCCCCCCCCTTTGTGACTGCATGTGTCTGACAGATTGGTGTGTGTGTGTGTATGTGTATGTGTATGTGTGTGTGTGTGTGTGTGTGTGTGTGTGTGTGTGTGTGTGTGTGTGTGTGTGTGTGAGAGAGAGGGAGAGAGAGAGAGAGAGAGAGAGAGATGGCAATTTTTGTGCATCATGTGGTGAGATGGCTGTTTGTACATGTGTGTGGGGGTAAGTGTTGAAGTATGTGTGAATTGTGTGTGTGTGTGTGTGTGTGTAATTTGTGTGTTACTGCTGGCCTGGGTGTGTGTGATTGTATTCTGAGTGGATTTGTTTTGAGCGTGTGCGTGTGGGACAGGTATCAGCCGGGATTAGTGTGTATAGGTGTGTGTGTGTGTGTGTGTGTGTGTGTGTGTGTGTGTGTGTGTGTGTGTGTGTGTGTCTCAGCGGATTTCTGTCCCCCCCCCCACACACACACACACACACACCCCAGCCTTGTCTCATCATCGTCTTCCCTGGAGACAAGCAGCATTTGGTCATGGCGGCGTGCGCGTGTGCGTGTGCTTGGCAGTTTGTCCTCTGGCTGACGTTGTGCAATGGCATTTCTCCCGCAGGAAGGCGAGCACATCAATGGAGTGTCGCCGCTCGACCGGTAAGCTCCTTCCTAGTCTCCCGCATCCTCATTCCCGACACCTTTGTTTCCTTGGAGGAGGTAAAGTGATTTTTGTTCTTGTTGTTGTTATCCGTCGTCGTTTCCGGGCTTGTGGGTCCACACGCTGTTAATGTGACACACGTGCGCGCCGGCCCTTTAAGAGAATCATGACAACACGGAAACGCTTCCTGTGCAGATTCGAATTGTTTGTTGTTGTTGTTTTCGATAAAACAGTGTTAATTGGCCAACTTTTCAGAATGGCAATGTATTTGGTGTAAATATTATTTTAAAAGTAACAGTAAAGACCAGTTTTAAACCTCAAGTATCACATGTGAAACAGTTGGCATTCTCATTTTTTTTTTTTTTTTGGTCCATTTTTACCACAAGGAAAATGTATGTAGTCCACATTAAGCAGATTTGCTTTGCTTCTTCGCTGGGGAGACGCTTGTGACGTCGGCGCAAGTCGTGGCTGGTGACACAATTCGACTCGGACCGGTGCGCGTTTGACGTGAATGACTGTGAGTGGGCGATCGGGCAGATTTGCAAGACTTAAGTGATCAGTTTAATTGCTCTACTCTGCTGCTCACTTGCTGACGATGACGCCCTGCTTTGAGCTTCTATCCCGCATGTTGACGTCCGACACACTTGACCCTTCTGAAGCAGCAACTTGCAAACTTTTTTTTTGCTTCAGCGCCTCGTTTGACTTTTAAAACTGGACAAATAGGCCTGGTCACCCATTAAAAAAAAAGGTGAGGGTATAATTTTATGGAGGTTGATCTTTTTTCTTGGGAATGTTTATGGGATGCACGTGGCTGATGAGTCATTTGTTTTTTCTTTTTCTTTGTGGGTGTTTGTGTTCAGGACTATCATGGGCCCACCCGGCATCAGCCGAGCCGTCCACCGGCTGGAGTTCTGCCACTGCAAGCAAGGACTTGGTCGGTCAATCTGTGCCTTCCCACCTCGCTTCACTTCTTTGCGTTCTTTATGTTGAGCTGCTTTTTTTTTTTCCCCCCCTGCAGGTGTGAAGATCATCGGGGGCTACCGAGAAATGACAGGAGAAGACTTTGGCATCTTCATAAAGAGAGTCGTAGCCGGTGGACTGGCTGCGCTTGACGGTCTGCTTTGATTTTTTTTATTTTTTAAGTTGACCTCTGCATACTTGCAGTTTCACATCAATTTTGGGGGGGGTTGGTAATTTTGTTTTGTTTGCTGAGTCCCCACCGCCCATTGTTCATAGCAAACATTGCCTGTGTTGTCCAGGTCGGCTCAAGTCTGGTGACCTGATTGTGGACGTGAACAACATCAGCCTGAGGGGGGTCACCAATGAGAGGTCACGACTTTAGTCACCCAAACCATGTGCAGGGTATTCACTTTTTTAGGGGATGCAATTGAATCCCAAGTGCTTTGCATCCTGGCAGGGCGGTGGAGATCCTGAGGACCGCATCGCTGTCCAATCACATGTCTCTCCTGGTTGCCAGGGACGATGACTCCAAGTAAGTCCACCTCCGTAAGCGGACGAAAAATCTTTTTCCAACAGTCCGACAGTCTACTTTGATTGTGAGGTGATATTGGTGGCATTAAGAAGTGGATTAAGTCTGCTTAGTCCGCACTGAAGGCTCACATAGTAAAAGCACAGCCCACCCCTGGGCGAAGGGATGCTGACTTCCCCCCCGACAACAAGTGATGTCATCGTGGTCGTGTCAGTTGAAGGTCAGGCGTCAGTATTTTTTATTTTGGGGAAGGGAGGTGTCAGCTGAGGTGACGCGACGGGACACTCTGTCGTTCTGGCTGCTTTTCCGCATTGCGCCGCCTCGTCGTCAGCACAAACGCGAGCTGACACATCGGGGATGACGATGACGTCGCCCGGCCTGCGGCTCCGTCACTCGCTCGTTTTCAACCACCTGTCCACTGTTTTACACTTCGCAGCATGCCAGCAGAACCATCTCGGGGACTGAAATCACAACAGAACATTAAAACAACACCAACACGTTATTGTTTTGTATTAAATAAACATTAACAATCAATTATGTTATTGCCCAAAAAAATGTACAGTGAGCCCGTGCTCTCAGCGAAAGTAGGAAACGGGCCCTGCGTCCAATATTGAAAATTCACCAATAACTGACACCTCAGGAGAGGGTGTACAACCACTACTTTTGTCTAAAGGAAACTCCTCCACTCGCTGCAACATAGTTCCTTGGTGCCACACTGCCAGAAGATGGTGCCAAAGTAATACTTTTATTGTTTTTCAAGAAATAACAGGATAAAAGTCTTAATTCAGTCATATTACGAATGATGCATTCATGTTGTCATCTCAAGGCGGGAGTTTTCCGAGCTGATGGAGAAGTACTGCTCCGGTCCCTTGGCGGCGTCCGGTCGGCTCTCGCCGACTCAGCAGTCCGCAGGTGAAACCCGAGCGGAAGCACTACCGTGCCCCTGGTAAGTTGAAAGTCAACTCTGGATTTTGTGTTGGCGCAGGGAAGCTGCTGGCCGCCGCCGTCGCCTCCTCATCTGAGAGCCCCCAGCTGCTCAGCCCCAAAGAGGGGGTCTCGCTCTACAGCCCCGTGGCCACGCCTGCCTTCAGGTACCTCCCACAGATGGCCGAAACATCCACAAAGACGCAAAAGAGTTTTTTTGCTCCACGGACCACTTTTGTGATATCGTCTATCTGCATGTTTCGTGGAGTCTTCGGTTTGAGAGCCACTTGAGGCAGAATGTGCCCCACTTGTGATGAGATTGGAAAGGAAGTGTTACTTAATGTCTCTCCGTGCGTGCTTTCCTTCCTCCCTCGCTTGCTTCTTTCCATTCTTCTCGCAGCGACAGCGTGATCCAGTTGATCTGCATCGCCAAGGGCAGCGGCCTGGGCCTGGTCATCAAGGGCGGCACCAACCGCGCCGAAGGCCCTATGGTCTTCATCCAGGACATGGTGGCGGGAGGAGACTGCCAGAAGGTCAGCCAACACCTGATCGGCATGTCCCCACCATCTTGTTTTTCCAAATGCAGTGCGCATCCTTCGTTGTCCATACGTGCGGTTTGTCAGTTGGCTGGTGATCAATTCATTGCTTGTCTGTATGTTCACGTTGGTTCCGTGGCGTTTGACGAGCTGCGTGCTGTTTTTTTTTGCATGTGAAGGACGGCAGGCTGCAGGTTGGGGATCAGCTGGTGTCCATCAACAAGGAATCTCTCATCGGCGTGACGTACGAGGAGGCCAGGACTATCCTGACGCGCACCAAACTCAGGTCAGATCTTAGCACATTTATAGTTCAAAACAGGTCACACAGAAAAGAAAACTGAAAAGGTGGAATGCAGGGCCGGAAGGCCACAAATACAAGTTTGACGTTTTGCTTGTCCCGCAGACCAGATCCCACCGTGGAAGTGGCCTTCATCCGGCGCCGGACTTCCTCCAGCTCCAGCAGCGGTCCCCACAGTCCTGTCGTAGGCCCCTCCGGGGCCATCAGACCCCCTGCGCCCGCTCCAGTTGTGGTCACCAAGCTCACCTGCAGCCGCAACCCGGCCAGCGAGACGCTGCCGCCCGTCAACGTCTGCCAGGTGCGGACTCACAAATGGAATCGCATGACCTCCTTTGAGCAAGGCGACGGAATTGGACACCTGGCAGTTGAGCACACTCTCGCTGCATTCGTGAAACAGAACAGTGTGTGTGTCTGGTCTTCATTTCACACGCCGACAGAAATTTGTCATCTTTGCAGGTCCGAGTGAGTCCAGTCATGAGCCAACACGCATGCGTTTCGTCCTTAGATGAGTCTGATCTCAATGTGGGTACGAATTCTAATACAATCATTTTTTTGTTGTTGTGGGGGCGGGGGGGGCGTACAATATAATACAGTATCGTCATATTTTGTTGTTGTTTGTTTCCTACGTGTCCTTGGGTGCTCAAAAAAGTGCCTATGTACAAATGTTCACAAGCTATTATGAGTTGAGTTTTGTCAATGAATTTGCGTTGTTTGCAGATGGCTGTCATCTGAAAGTGGAGCAAGTGGAAAAGGTGAGATCATTTTCATCATTCTATTTGTTCCCGTGGACAGTATTTGTTTGTTTTTGTGCAGCGACACCCTGCATGACTCGAGTTGTCATAATGAAAGTGGACACCAGAGAGCATGCTTTCCCAAGGATCCGTCCGCATGAGTCATTTTATACAAGCACAGCGCAATCAATTTGGACAGCACTGGAATATATGATGTCTTTTTTTTAAGCTCACAGCGAATGAAAATCCCAAATATGGAGAAATTCTCATATGAGATAAAAGTAAAAGTTCAAAATGTTCTTCCGAAAATGGCTCACTTTATTTACATGTTGACTGTCCGCGTTTGATACTATTGCGAGGCGAGGGCGTGCTTACCATGCGTGCTTATCGATCTGCTTTTATGGATGTGTGTGCGTGTGTTCAGGCTCTGGACCTGCTGGGCCTCAATCCTTCGGACGCTCAGCGCCAGGCGCTCTGGTCCCGACTGCGAACCCATCCGCCTGGCGTGGTGGCCTACGCTGGTAAGGACGTGCCCAAAACAAAACTTTGATTCAACGCGTTCAACCCCAGTGAGAACTTGAATGGACAACAGACGGTAGCGTGATTTTTATTTTTTTGTCTGCTTTGTTCAAATATTTAGGTAGGAATTTTTTATTTTCCATTTCAGTTTCTGCAGTGGTAGTAAATGTAGTTGTGGTCGTGGGGGTGTTGGTTCTGTCAAATGTTGGCCCGTGGTGTATTCAAGGTTGTCCTGCTGTCGCTCTGACAACAACGAACACTTGAAGTGACTTTCCCCGCAGGTGGCCTTTCAATTGCACCTCGGGTAACAACTCAAGTGAAGGCGGCCGTTTTGTTTGCTCGGGCAGATTTCGAGAGCGCGACCAGGGAGGTGTTCAAGTCTCAGCCCGACGGGCCGGCCGCCGCCCAGCCGGGGTCAAGGTTCACGTCTGAGGACCTGTTGAATCTGCTGGAGGTGCCCGCTCGCCGCCAGGTAGGTCAACAAAGAAGCTGGAAGAAAATAACTGGTTGAAACGAAGTTCACTCGGTAAAATATTTGACATTTGATTCCAAAGATCATGTTGCCATCTGAAACGAAACACTTGGCTACTAATGACAACTGCCCGCGGATAACACAGCAGGGGCTGGGGAAACTTGTGCTTTGTTTCTGCTGTTGCCATGACAACCTGAAATTACTTTGGTGTGTGTGTGTGTTTGCGCGTACGTGGCAGTCAACGCCCGATTGGGCCGACACGGCCGAGATGGATCGACTGAGGAAGGAGAACGTGGAGGCTCTGCGGGAGGTCAAAAGGCTGCAGGTGAAAGCCGCCCTTTGCACTTGGTGGTTATTAAATTTTTTTAGGGGGGGTTAGGCACCGTTTGATGGCACCAGAGGCGCAGCCAGGCCAACTTCCTGTTTGGTGTGGATGTCGTCTGACGTTCAGGATCAGCTGCTGGAGTCTCACAGGGTTCAGCGGCAGATGGAGGAAGAGCTGGACAGTGTCAGACAGGTTGGAACATAGCACGTCACATCATTCCGTGCAGTTCAATCGTTCTGCCGAGGTTCATCCACGACGAATCGATTAGACGTGTAGAGACTTTGTTGAGTTTAAAATCTTCGGAATGTCTGCCTTTCATCAATCATACACATATTTGGTGACTCGATGCAATATGCCTTCACTTGACTCGCGGCGCGTGGGAGAGCGCAAGTGGGCGCGTGGTGTTGAAAATAGCGCATCAGGTGGAGGTGGGCTCACCTCCACGCTTCAGCTTCACTTGTTTTTTTTTTTTAAACTTAAAAGCAGGCAAAGTGGTCCTGGCTGGCTGGCGTGGGAGGAGTGTGCAGCCTTCGTTCAAAGATGGGGAGAGAAAAAAAAAAGCATCCTTTTTGTTGTTGTTTTGTTTGTTTGTTGTGATCCACAGCTGAAGTCTCTCAGCCTCATAGAGAGAGAAATGATGAAGCAGCTTAATTTGGACAAAGTTGGTAAACACTTCAGTTTTTTTGTTTTGTTTTGTTCATGAACAGAGGCGGAAATGGAGGTTGAAGCAAAGGCAGAATGCAAGGATACGAGAGACTGAATCAAAAGCAGGTTTGTTGGAAGGGAAGAATAAACGAGGGAGGGAAGGAATTTGATGCTTGAAAAAAAAGCACATCTCAAGGCAGGAAGGCAGAAAAGTAACTTTCAATGAGGGAAGATTGAAAGAATGCCTATAACGTTAGGAAGACAAAATGGGAGGAAAGAAAGGATGGCGAGGGAAAATAAGTGTGCTTGGAAGCAAGGCAGGAGGTGAGTGATGCCAAGTGGTGTGCGTTGTCATGGCGACGACAACCTGATACGTGTCGGCCTCACCGTCGCCGCGTCAACACCACCTTGTTTCCACAAAAGCCGTACACTCGCTGCTCGCTTTTTTTTTCCCTCTTCACCCCCCCCCTTTTTTTTTTTTTTTTGGTCAAAAATGTTTGTGATTGTGCACACTACTCAGACAAGAGTTCCCCTCTGTCCTGCCACCACCCCCACCCTCCCCCAGGCCACAGCCGGACACAAGACAACTCCTGCTGTGACCCATTAGTTACTCAACCAGTAGTGCACACACACTTCTCTTCCAAAATAGGCCCATTTTCGGATCGGCCGTCTTCCACGCAGGTTGGCGAGCAGAATTTTCATCGAGTCGTCCACGCCGAAGGCATAGGTTGCAAATGTTTATTTTTTTTAAACAGACGATTACATCAATGGACGTCAGCCGTACCGCATCGCGACCACTTGCGGTGTCTTTGTCACGCCGGCGCTCGCGTTCATACGCGTCACCTTGTTTGGCTACTTGTGGGGACATGACGAAAGGTGCGTTGGGAAAGGCGGACCCCTGTGATTGGCGGGACAGCCAGTCCATGGTTTTGTCAGTCCCACACCAATGTGCCCCCCTACCTGCTAATGTTTAGTGTGTCCGTTCAATGCAAAACAGCCACCCTAAACACACACACACACACACACGCGCACACTACAATTAATTCCGTACTTGAGAATGACATACGTTTTTATTTGTTTTAACCTCCGCTACAAGTAACCGGCTTCATCTGTCAGTTTATCCAAATCCAACAGCGGGCTTTGAGCGCCAAACTTGTTTTTGCGAGCGTTTGGAAAAGCCACGGCTTCTTGCCGCCTCGCCTCACTGACTTCCTCCCACCGGCAGGAAGCCAAGGCGGCCGCGGAGGAAACACAGACGCTGCGGGCACGGGCGGAGCTGGCCGAGGAGGCCCGCAAGCAAGCCCGGGGGATGGAGATGGACTATGAAGAGGTGGTCCACCTGCTGGAGGCCGAGATCGCCGAGCTGAAGACTCAGAGGGCCAAAGAGCCTCTTCATCCTCCTCCTGCTCCTCTTCCGGACAATAAGGTAGGACGCACACTGGCTCTCTGACCCTGTGAGGAGAAATTTGAAAAACAATCCCAGTGCGCTGATGCACTTTTAGTTCCACGGGCCAGCACTGCCAATTGGGAAGGCGCTGTGCTGAATTCTAATTGGACCCTAAAATTACACATCCACATCCAGTGAACCCTCACATATTGGCAGTTTGGTATTTCCAAAGTCCCTTTTTTTGGGGTGGCGATCTGTCCCCTTCTGCACTGAAAAATGCTCCCTCTTCGCTCTTTTTAGGCTCAGGCCAAAGTAATAAATGTCGTGCTTTGCAGCCATCCTTTGGCATCATGGTCCTAATGTTAAAATGATGCCACCAACTTGGTGTCAAGGAACTGTGTCGAAGTAAGTTGAGGATCTTCAGTTCGACAAAAGCAAGTGCATAATACCAATGGCGTGGTAAAGAAAACTTGCCATTGAAGTTATTTGCCCCCCCCTTGTAAATGTCATTCGGTGCTTCCAAAGGTGAGGCCGGCGCCGCTTTCCTCAGCGGACGTGTTTCTTGTGGCAGGAGGACGTCGAGCAACTGAAGAAGGCGGCGGCCGTGCTGCAATGCCAGCTGCGGAAGAGCGACGCCGCCAAGAAAACGTTGGAGACGGCCACCGCAAAACTGCTGACGTTTGTCGCGGTGAGAAAGAGCGCGATGGAGCTTGCGTAGCTAATGAAGTGGCTGCTACAGTGACACCCCCCCCCCCAATCTTCGAAAGATTCTATCCAGATTTCAATTGTGTGATTCCTCCTCAGAATGTTCAAGAGTTCCTGCTTGAAGGACTCGGACCCACCAGGTACATCCAAGTCCAACACTTTGACTTTTTTGTTTGTCCGTCCGCAGTCGGAGTGAGTGTGATGATGTCATCGACTTTTTTTGAAAGATGAACATTCTCTGTGTTTTGACTTCCCTCCAGTTTTTTTTTTATTTTTTTTATTGAACGTAATTGGGTCTGTCGGCTTCCCTTCCCGCTTTGACCCACTTGCGCGATCCCAGGTGGGCCCGCCGCCGTTAAGTAGCCTGCTGCTCATGACCGCCCGCTGCCATTGAGCCTCGTTGCCATACGGCGGCGCCCAGGTGGCGGTCGGCTCCTCGCCGCGTTTCTTAGCAAACGAATAACCGAGTGCCGTTTATTGCTTCGCGTGCCTACTCCCTTCTTTGCTCCATTGCGGTTGACCTCCATTTGACCCTTGCGAGCATCCTGTTCGATGTCTTGCCGGCTCGTTCGTGGTGTGTGAATGCGATCGATTTCAGTGTGACATGACTCTTGCGTAAGTCCACCTCAGTCAATCAGGTCAGTCGGCCGCTCTCCGTTAAGCGAGATTGTGTTTGTGCGACTGTTGTGTTGGTGTTGGTGGGGGTCAACGTGTCAGGTTTCATAATGGCACCCCCCTTCCCGCATCCTTTCAGAGACCACCCCCCACACCGCTTTGTCCTCACCTGTTCTTACGCCTTTGTAGGCCAGTGGCTGTCTTTTCAAAACCAAAACATGACGCGTGTGTGCTGCTGCTGTAGGTCACGTAGTACATTAAAAAAAAAAAAACAGCATCCAGTTCTGAATATGAAGTCATTCGTAGTAACTGTTGCTGTCACACTATATTATAATTAAGCGTATAGGAAAGCCGGAAGACGTGTTCAATCGACGAACCATCCGAAGAAAATCGTATCAATAGTGCCAGTTGAAGAACATCATCGGACAATGAATAACACTTGCGATATCTCATAAGGTTATTCTAAAAATTGCCTACACGGGAGAGAAAACTAGTTTGGGTTAGTTTCGTATTTGTCGTGTGAAGATGACAATCGGTTGACGCGCTGTTTTTTTGGCTGCAGTTGCGCAGACGTCAAGGGGCACGCGAAAGGCGGACCCTCACGACACGAGAGCTCGTGGACCGCGGCGGCGCTGGCCAAGGAAGCGCACCACCTGAGGACCAGCGTCGGGAACTTCCTGGACGTGGACAGTAAGTCAAACTTTGGAGTCCGCCATTGGACGACACGGGACTTTGCTCGGGCGAAATTTGGGAAGGCTGCGCGTGACTGCTTATATTTGAAAATGTGCATTTTCAAGGGTTATGTTTTTAATTATGTCAGGAAAAGAATGCAAGTATTGAGCAAGTGCAAAGTTGCCAAAAGTGCCCGAATATATTGCGACGAAACAACATTGCATGACTGAGCACATTTTTTTTCTTTCCCAGTAACTTGGGGCTTGCATGAAAGCTTACGTGACTTCCTTGTGACTTCCTCCTGCCTTCCTCTTCCTCCTCTTCCTCTTCTCTCTTGAGCCCCGCCCGCATGCGCCCCCTAGTGGACGGCCGCCCCTGTCGCGAGGGAGTGCCCTCCCTGTTTCGACACTCGCCGTCGTTCTCGCGGACGCCGGCGAGCGCCGCGTGGAGCAACTCGGCCACGTTGCCTCGCTTCTTCTCCGTAGACGCCACGTGTGCTCTTCGAACCTGCATGCGCTTCACCAAAACTGCATCTGTGTCTCTTTTCAGTCAGGAAAGTAGCACTCGACACTCGTGTACTGTGTAAAAACATTTCGTCGTCATCATAACAATTCCCAAGGATGCAATGAAATACACCCGCTTCTACTCGTACTTGACATGCTTAAATTCGGACATTGTTTTGGTCCCCGTGCTGTGTGTGCCGTGCCCACGAGCGAGACGCCATCATACACAAAGAAGACCGCCAAAAATCAGCCGCAGTAGTATTCCACATATCTTTTGGGCAGAGCATAAAGAACAGCGGCCTGTCGCTCTTGTGATTTGGCTGTCTCTGTTTCTTGCTGCACCGTTTGTGTTCAAATTTCTGTTTTTAACATTTACACAGACATTAATGCTAGGATGAGTTTTTACACACACGCAGTATTTCAGTGTGTGCGTGTGTGTTTGGGGGGGTAACAGGACAAGATGATGATGGTAGAAGTTACAAAGGAACTGTCAACAAAAGTCTTTTGAGTCCTCATTTCAGCCACTTGCAAAAAGGTCACCCTCACCTAATTAGCACACACACACACACACACACACACACACACACACACACACACACACACACGCCAGATTGATGATGATGGTGGTGGTGGTGGCCAGATGTGATGAAAAGAGTCCCAAGAAAGAAAGTAGGTCATGTGGATGCAGGAGAGTTTTCCTTCCATCTGCTTTTCATCACGTCGCCTGTTGCTAGGATACCCAATGGCGCTTGGCATCGCGCCCGCACATGCGTGTCAAGATGGAGGAGACGTACTGTCGATTGGGAGGCGTTTTTCGACACAAAGCCCAAGTCACAGTTGGAGTTTGTTTTCCAAGCAGGATTGTTTGTTTGTCTTTGTCAAGCCCAAACTTGTCAATAAAGTTTGTCTTGCTGTGATGTCTTCTGGCCACGTGTTGTCTTTCCAGACTTCACGAAATGCGTTGGCTCTAACTTTCTATTTCTAACTTTTTATTTCATTATAATTTTAATTTGGTAACAATGTGTGTCACGTTTGCTCGCTTTTTGGAGTTTTTGTTACGTTTCTTCATTTTATTGGTGAAAATTTGTTTAGTTCTTAGATTTTTTTTTTACGTGCATTTTGGGGTCATTTAGTGTCAATTTTTGGTTGAATTTCTGTGTTTTGCGACATTTCTGACACTCATTTTTTGTTCCAATTTGTATTTTTTTTTGTCTTATTATTTGTCACTTGTCAGTTGTATTTATTTATTTATTTATTTATTTTTTAAATGTCCCTGACGTGAAGTTTTTGTATGTTTCCTTATTTCTTTCTCCGTGTGGTGCTTGCCGGTACATGGTGTGTGTGTGTGTGTGTGTGTGTGTGTGTTGCTGATGTGAGCGAAATGGTTCCCGCTGTGTCCCGCTTTGCATTTTCGGCCTCACAAAAGAGCTGCATCATCGTCCTCCTCATCACCTTTGCGCGTCTTTGTTGTAGTGGAGGACGACAATCGGGCAGGGAGGTGCTTTCCACTGAGAAAAACACCTCCCCCACCCTAATCTGACACAGCACAAACAAAACACGACAGGTGCACATCGACATGAAATTGGGGCAGAACAATTTTTAATAATAACGATGACATGTTGACATCAAAGAGCAGCTTCCTGACATGAAAAAAAGAATGACATCATTACTGCCGGTTCAGGATTTCACTTTTTTGCTTATTGTTCATCTGCAAAGATGTTTTTGTTGCATTTTTGTTTTTAACCTTTGGGTCCATTTTAATTAAAAATTGTGTTTTTGTTTGCCTGTTTTTGTCAATTGCATATTTTTTTTTGCGAGAGAGGGCAGTTGGCAGACTACACCCTGAAGTGGTGTCCAGCCACTCGCAGGTCTTTTTCTACCTCATTTTTTACCACTTTTTCTACCCCATTTTTATTTATATATTTCAATATTGCCATTTTTCAGAGGTTTTTTTTGTGTCACTCTTTGTTTTTGTTGCTTTCTTTTGTTACCTTTTCACTTTTCTCTTGAATTATTCATTCTTCATATTTTTTGTTCTTTCTCTCACATTCCTCCCAATGTTGCCATTTTTGAAAACTTTGAAAATATCTTTTTCTTGCATTTTGTGAGCAAAGACGTATAGGTGGGACGGTATAGTATTGTACAGTAAGTGCATGTTTGCGACAGGCTGCTTGCTTTTTCCTTTTTTTCAGAAAGTGTGTCAAGGGTTCTAGTTAGGATCCTTGAGGCACGCCTTCAAGAGAATCTATTCATTGTTAAATATTGTTGACATTACCTCCACGGCAGGAGTTGGTTGACGGTGTGCGTGTGTGTGTGTGTGTGTGTGTGTGTGTGTGTGTGTGTGTGTGCCACAGCTCTTCCTTATGGCTGGGAGGAGGCGTATACGGAGCACGGCGTCAAGTACTTCATTGAGTACGTACTCGGCGCTCTTTTTCTTGTCGGACTTTTTACTGCCGGCCGTCACTGTCAAGTTGGATTCTTTGTAATGTTGTCATCTGTTCATACCATGGCAACCTTTATATGCTATTTATGTCTTCTGTCTTTTTTTTGGCAGTCATGTGACGCAGACCACCTCTTGGAGTGCGCCGATGGTCGTTTCCGTGACAACAACGGATGCCACAAACGGCGAGCGGAAGATTGAAATGTAGGAGGAGGAGCTGCTTGTTGCTATGGAAACAAATGGCTGTGAGTACAAGAGTACTAATAGATAAAAAGCAAGCTGCATTGTTCATTTTTTTAAAAAAATTGTTTAGTATTTTTTTTCGTTGTTTTTCTTGCAAGTGTTGTCGTTAAATATATATTTTATTTATTTGTTTATTTCCTGGAAGATGGAGTTGTTTGATGTTGCTTTTGAAACTAGTATGTCCTGAAAGTATGATTAGAAACGAAACAGGAAAACACAAGCTGGACTGTTGAAAACCACCGAGCCAATCAGAAGCATGAAGAAAGTCTCGAGTGAAAAAGACACTTTTATCGCCTGAAGCTGCATTCCAAAAACGGTTTTTTATTTTATTTGTTTGTGATGGTGTCTATGCTCAAGCTTTATAACAACACACGCACAAACACACTGTTATGTCATAGCGAGAAATCAATGTGTGTGCGTTGGTGAGCGTGAAACTGATTTGTGCTTTTCCTCGCAATGTAACTGAATATAAAAGACTGCGGTAATCTGATTACTTGACGACACGCGGGGTCGAGCAGTGTGTGCGTGCATGGTTATTTATAGCGAGCGTGCGACGGCAGCAGCTGGAAGCCTGAGAAAATCCTGTTCAAATACACAACAGCAAACAAGAACACACAAATATTTAGACAGCAGCATTAACACGAGAACACGAACACACAAATATTTGACGAACTTTAGCACGCAAATGGGATGTTTTCAATCCATTTTTGGGGGGGGGAGTCGGCTGTTTATGGGCTAAATGCTAAAATGACGCTAACAAGAGTGGAGAAAAGAGTTGCTGCCAGCGCCTGTCGTTACGTAACAGGGTAATAATCCGTAATCCGTCTGTTCCTGTGCGGTCCACGAGGGGGCGCCATTTGTTCGACGCCTACGTGTCCGCGGCCCTGCCTTAGGCCTTGGTGCCGCTTGCTCACCGCCCTACTTTTTCCGTCCAGGCCAAGGTCAACATGACATCGCCACAGCAACCGTTGCCGTGGTGACTTTGTGATGGTCTCCGGGCACCCATGTGACTCAACGGTATACTTCACATTTATACGCCGCGGGCAGTGATGGGACATTGTGATTGTCTCAGAATGTTCTCAAAGTGATCATTTGAAATAGTAAAACACTGAGAGAAATGCATCGAAATTAAGCCTTGCATGTTTATTTTATAATGGTTGTGAGAAATCATTCAAGTAAAAAGGTGATCTCATCTCATCATTCCTCGTACATATTTTTTTTCATCTGCAAGATTTTTTTGTGTTAAAAAGTTGATCGACTTATTTTGTTTCTTCCTAGCTTGCCCCCTCCTCTTGCCTTTGCATGCTTGCTTACCTTCATTTGTTTTGCTCTCCGTGTGGAGCACATGAGTTTCAACGTGATAGGGCGGGCGGGGGCGGGGCGTAGCGGCTTGTGTGCGTGCATGCGTGCGCGGGCGCAGGTTTGCTCTGGCCTCTGATTGGTTAAAAGTAGGTCAAGCCGGCCCACTCATGTGATCCAGCATTCCTCTGTGTGTGTGTGTGTGTGTGCGTGCGTGCGCGCGCGCGGTGATAAAGGGGAAGCGTCATGAAAAAGTGTGATTGTGATCTTTGAGGGCTGCGCTTTCCAAGTCAAAGGGTCACGCAAATGGACTTGAAGCAGAAGAGGCACCTGCTGCCACTGTTTTAGCTGGAAAACTGCACAATATGAACAGCATAGGTCAACCGAAAGACTTTCATTCCGATAATATTAAAAAAACAAAACAATTGACATGATATACATGTCAAAACCCATCTAAATGTGATATAATTACATTAATTGCAATGAAATTGAAATACCGATTGAACCCTGTAAGTCATTTCAATATGAGCAAAAGAGTGTCAGGAAACATTTTATTGTAATTGTTCACCTTTTATCAGTTTGTATAACCTTCCTGTTACAAAAAAAATACATATACAAATTAAAAAGTATATTTTCTTCTTTAGATTCGATTTTTTACATCTATTTTGAATAAAGCTCTTTTTTTATGAATTCATTTCTGTTGACTTCTCGGTGTAGCGATGAAACAAACATAACGAAAGTGTTTCATCAATGAAAGTGTCGTCATTGTTGACCACGTTTTTGGTGAAAACTTCCAAATTTGATAGTTACGATTTGAATTTGTTTATTTCGGGTGTGGGCGCAGGTGCCACTTTGCCTGGTTGCCAAGCCTCAATGACAGGGGGCGTGTCGTCAGCCGCGACGTCACCATCCCTCCGAGGGCATGGAACGAGCTGTTTTTTGCGACTCAAACAACCTGTGCGGGCTTTTTTTTTTTTTTTTGTCCCCGTCGTGTAGATTTTTCATTGGTCGACCAAACAATTTTCTAGTTTCGACGTGGTTAGGTCGTCCCGACCCGGGTGTCCTTTTTATTCGGAAGCTAGCGGTCGCCAATCGAGTGATTCGCGGAGTCGATTTGAAGAGTCGCTCGCCAAGCTCGCTTCGTCCGCGACGTGCTCGCCGCCGCTGGTCGTGCGCGCTCACGTCCACGCTCGCTCCTTTTTCGCTGTGGTGACGCCAAGCAAGACACCGACCGCGAGGCTTTACGCTCCCCTCGGGTCTTGTCGGCTCTAGGCTTTTGGCTGCGGGGGTCGGCATGGACAAGATGTCCCGAGTGCACGCGAGCTCACTGAATGCAACTTTTGTGCCCGCCGCGGTGGCTGCGCACGGAGTCCTCAAGTCGCTGCTGGAGAACCCCGTCAAGCTCCCCAGCAGGCACCACCATGACGGTAAGAAACATTCGCTCCTGATTCTCATCGCTCGCCCAAGACATTAGGACATGATTTGGAATCGTTAAAGTCACGAACGGCAGGCCGCGTGTCTCTTTGAAGCAACGATGGTCACCAAACTTAACTCCGTGATCTTATAAAGTTAGTTGACCGACAAGAAAGGGATTTTTTTGGGGGGTCGGCGGGGGGCAAAGTGTCTTCTTGCAGCCAGTGCATGGAGTTGGGATCCTTGTGAAGAGAAGCAGTGTTGATTGGATGTCATCTGTTTGACTCCCATGACCCGGAAAGGCTGAACGTTGCTTTCATCCTATAAGTGGCACATGAAATTATTTGGTTTTATACAATATTATGTCATTATCGGACGCAAACAAAAGCACTGCGGCTCAAGTCAGTGAGGGGGTCCAGCTCTTTTCATTATTGTGACTGAATAAGTTTTGGCCACTTTGTGTCGGAGAAGATGACTTATTTTTTTAAGGTGTGTTGCTAAAATTGACTATCACACTAACTTTGTAGTAACTACTCCTGGAATTAAAAATACTTCAACTCGTCCTTGCACTGTCATGATTTTCCCAGAAATTAAGCAAATAATACCATTTGTATTATTTGCTAACCTCAAAAACTCAACTTTAAAAACAACTTCAAAGAACAACCACAAAATAAATGACAGTAAAAATTATATGTTGAAATAATTAAATGCAATTAAAAATAATAATAATAATAATAATGTGTTCCTGCTGCGCACCCCTTGACCTTAGATATCAAAATAGGAGAAGAAAAAAATTATGATACAACTTGTTCTGTTTGTGCGTGAATATTTCAGAACGTTGGGAACTTGGAGACACATCGCGCCCATCAAGGGTTTTTCTTTGATCAAAATGTTGTTTTTTTTTGGGGGGGGGGTGTCATGACAATCAAAATTCCCATGAGTTGCCCAGGCCCTCCTTGAGAGTCATATTTCCGATATTTTCTGTTTTTGCGTGGTGTCAGTGTTTGTCAAAGATCACGACAAGGAGAACAAGCTGAACGAGGAGTGCAGCGCCCCGCAGTCGGCCTTCCTGGGGCCCACCTTGTGGGACAAGACGCTGCCCTATGATGGCGATAGCTTCCAGCTGGAGTACATGGACCTGGAGGAGTTCCTGTCCGAGAACGGCATCCCCTCCAGCCCCGCGCAGCATCAGCAGCAGCACCATGTCCCTCTGCCGGCCCCGCCCACTCCCATCAGGGCCCCGCCGCCGCCGCCCTCTGTGATGGACCTCAGCAACCACACCTCCACCTCCGTTCACAACGCATCGCCTGCTTGTCTGCTCAGAAACCCCAACAGGCCAGGTAGCTTTTCGCATCAGCTGGGCAGTTTTTTTTTTCCTCTTCCTGGAACCAAAAGTTCCTGCTTCCTTGTTTGCCTTTGTTGTTGCTGTTGCCGTGGTGCTTTGCTTTGATTTCAAAAGCATGCTAGCAACCGAGAGCGGGGAACGCGGCTTAGCTTAGTTAGCGTACTGAAGCACACCGCGCGATGCAGCTAAACCCGCCTTGAATTGGTCTGTCGCAAAAACACGGACGTTCGTCGATTTCACCAACGCACCGGTATCGGCTTTCGAGGGTGCACGTGTGCAGTAGGTTGTACGTATTCGCTTGGATGAAACCATAAAAAGATTGCGGAACAGGAAGGGAAGAAGTGCTTTGGGTGACCGCAGAGTAAGGATGTGGGGGCGAAAATACAAGCGAGCAAGCAAATGTGTTCTGGCAGAGGTCAAGTTCAGGTGTTGTCGTTCTTGTTTTGAATTTTACTGGCACCAAATAGCAAAGCAAGGTGTCAGTCATTCTGCTGAGCGAAAGGCTCCACGGCGGCCACCCTTTTCTCGAACTCGACGTACAATCTTTGCCTCGGCTGATAAAACGGCAGCTTGTGCAGTGAGCGAGTGAGGCTGCAGATAAGCTAAGACAAACACAAACATCCTCATCCCCTCATCCTGCTGTGAACTTGGAAGCTTTTTTTTCCCCCCTCCGCACGTCTGGCTCCTAACAGCGCTTCGGTGACAAAATAGCAAAGAGCGGCCACATTTGGGTTGAGCTTCAAAAATGGCCCCCAAGAGAAAACTGTCTTTAAACTGGTTTCAATTGAAACCAGTTTAAAGGCGAGCCAGGTTTAAACAGTCGGCTGTTTTCAACTGGTATAAGTCGAAGGCAGTTTTAAACTGTTTCAAACAGGGCAGGTGTGAAAAGGTTGAAAACTTTGAATGGAAGGCAGAAGTTGAAATAGCGTGAAAGAAAAGTAGGGCGGTTGTTGACCTCATAACCTCGCAGACGACCGGAGGCGGGTTTTATTGTTTATTACTTTTTTTACGACGTATTCTTGTTCCCGTTCAAATTGAATTATGCCTGCGTTCAAGCGCTTGAAAAAAAGCTTTGCATCTGTCGCCACCATCTGGCCGCAGTGTATCACTGCATCACTCGCTCAAGATGGTTCACGTTCGCTTTGGAAAAAAAGTCGAATGATTGCGCTCAAATGTCAGGAAAATGGCAATAAAAGTAGATGGCAAAGACATGAACGCTGTTTTGGTTGTCTTTTTGTTCTCCTCTAGGGCTCCCGAACTTCAGAAACACCCCGAGTCCGATCGACCCGGAGTCCATCCAGGTTCCGGTGGGCTATGAGCCGGACCCGGCAGACCTGGCGCTGTCCAGCGTACCGGGCCAGGAAATGTTCGACCCGCGCAAATGCAAATTCTCGGCCGAGGAGCTGAAACCGCAGCCCATGATCAAGAAGGCTCGCAAGGTCTTCATCCCCGAAGATCTGAAGGTAATTTGGAGCTGGTGCTCATTCGCTCTGCTCAGGTTGGAAGAAAAGGCGGCTGTAAAACATTTTTAAACGGGAGCTGCGTTGAAATGCAGAAAGAAGGCTTTCAAACTCTCACGGCTCGTCCTTGTGGCAAGTGACCTTGATGTTCTTTTTGCCTTTGAGCAGGACGACAAATACTGGGCCCGGCGCAGGAAGAACAACATGGCGGCCAAGCGCTCACGTGATGCCCGGCGCCTGAAGGAGAACCAGATCGCCATCCGGGCCGGCTTCCTGGAAAAGGAGAACTTGGCACTCAGGCAGGAAGTGGGCGAGCTGCACAAAGAGCTGAGACGCACCAAGAGCATCCTGGCCAAGTACGAGGCACAGCATGGAGGCTTGTGAGGGCCCTACGCATGCGCACGCACACACGCACACAGACACACACACACACACACACCTCCACTCCACAGTCCGATTGGCTGGACTTGCTTGCAGGTGAAGCAGCAAGCGGTGCGTCGGCCCTCTTGGAATGGCTGTTTCGGGTTAACTCACTCGTACGTGCCTGAAAATGCGCCGATTTTGGCAATTGTATTTTCGGGGGTCCCAAAAACTCACTCTGTGGCACCGCCTCATAATTTGGAGGAAAAAAAAAAATTGAGCAGCGCCCGCTCATTTACCCAATCACCGACCGGCCGCCCATTTTTGACCCACCGACATGAAATTGGGTTGCCAGTCATGACAGGATGCACAGAAATGTGTTGAGCACACAGCAAGTCAGCCATTTTGGTTTGAAAGCGGACACATTCAGCGACTTCTCGGTCTTTCCCCATTTCCTCTTTGTCGGGTGTTGGCCACACTTTTGCTCCGCCTGAGTGAGTCGAGCCAATGAGAGGCCACATTGTCTTTGCTGTACCTCCGTTCCCAGCATGCACCTGCGCCACGTACATACCCGGTATGTGCACAGGTAATGTAACGTGTGTGCACTTTTTGTCTTTTGCTATCTTCTCAGCAGTATTTTATACCACAAAATGAGTTGTGCGTGTATGTATGTGTGTGTATACATGAATATATACACACACACATATAGAGCAGAAAATGCCAAAACAAACAAAAAAGATTTAAATCCATAAATGACATATTTTTGTACCACTTTGTCTAACGTCTAAAGCCAAACTGTGCTTTTGACAGCTTAGGCGAAAGCCTTTGAAAAGGAACAAAATGAACCCAAAGACAAATATACACACGCTGGGTATAAAATAAGACCTTATATACAAAATTATAAGAAAATAAAAATATGAGTAAAATACACACATTTCATATTTATTTTTAAAGAAATGCCTAATGACAATAAATGTTTTAGAAAAAAAAATGGAATGGAATTATTCTCTTAAAAAATGTATTTTACATGAAAAAATGTGCAATTAAACTGTTCAAAAAAAAGAATAATAATAATCAAACGTGTCCCTGCAGCACAAGTGTTTGCTCAGCCCTGAGTTAGCGTCTTCTTGCACTTTAGCAGTTCGCCTCCCAGCCGCCAGAAGTGGCGACGTAAAAGAAAACATCGTTCCATCCACAAACATCGACAACAATTTCATTTTTCCGAGTATCTACGGTCCACAAAGCAGACATTTCTTTTGTATCAAATTATTTCAGTTGTGTCGTCAGTGACTTCTTATTAGTGCAATAATCCTTTGACAAATTTGTGCGTTTGCTTTGTGCGTAGCTCAGTGCTGACATGAATGTATACTGACAAGTACGCGTGTGCGTTACACGTTGACTTTAGTACACCGGACCAAAAAAAACTAGACCACCTTAAATGTTTCTATACTTTTTTTTTGTACAGCTTTGGATTGTGTATATTTTTTTTTTTTGATTTGGTTACACAACTTGAAACACTTCACAGTATTGCAATCAATCAAACCAATTATAAGTTTGCAACATTTGCATACAGCGAGCCCTTGTTTTTGGTGTGACGTCACGCCAATAAAACTAGGGTTCGCTGTATCGACTGTCAGTTTGGTCCATTAGACGGGCATTAAGCAAGCAGTCTTATTTTCTCTCTGTCTGGAGTTGAAAATACCTCAAAAGGAATCCAAATCAATCAATTGAAACGAGCACCGGTTTTATTTACATGCTGAATGATCTTTATATCATCACTGTGTAAAAGAAATATTTTAGTGGCTGTATTTGGGCCTCTATGAATGTAATCACCCGACATCGAGCACTTACTGTTTCGTTTTTTTTTCTTTCCTTATGGTGTAATTTATCTTTCTGTTCTCTCTGATGTTTTGATGCGCATTCCCTTTATTTATCCTGACTTTCCCCCCCATGAACACGATGAATAAAAATATCAAAAGAAATGAAATCAACGGTCTCTTTTGTTGGGTTGAAAGTCATTCGTGAATCAGATACTTTGAATGTTTTACCCTTGAAACTCGCTCATCCGTGTCCGGAAATGCAAAGGGTGTGACCCGATATGTTTTTGTCGTGTGCGCGCACGTAAACAGTCGCGCATGCTCGCGTGCAAGATGTCTGCCGGCCGCGACGCCTCATTACGTTGATCAATTCACCTTCCTGGATTGATTAACTCCGGTTCACGACGAAAGCTCAAAAGAAGGAAGTGGGACAACAAATAAAGCCATGATGATCCTGGAAAAAAAAACCCCGCCAAGGTCGTCAGGTAAATTGAATCGAAACCCGAAGTTGGATTGTTAATTGAACAGCAACCTCGCAAACATTTGTGTTGGGGAGTTTTCATGAATAAACCAAGTTAGCAAAGTAGCTAGCTGCCTTGGCTAAATGTCGGGTGGAGAGGAGTGAGCAACAGCTTGAATGTCATCCCACTGCACCTTTTAATTACCAAGTTCATATTTAGGCCAACAAACGCGATTTGGAATGCAAAGTAAATTGATACGCATGCGCTCAAAACACGACGTCACGTGGCGTAGTATTTACGGAAGTAAATAAATGAAACCCCTCCCGTACGTCGTGAAAAACCATAATCGTCGCAATTTCAAGGGTTTTATGCTTCAGCTGAATTTCCGCGGCCCCCCTCCCCATATATTGGTCAATTTCTTTTTTCGCCTCTTGTTTGCTTTTTTTTCTCCATCAATTGTGACGTATGTCTGAGTTGGGAGCCATGGGGCGGGGAGGGGGGGGGCAGGATTGTACTCTTCACATTGCATTACAAATTATGAAACATTTCTCACATCTGTATGAAAATAAATCGGTAATGACCTTTGTTATTTGAGCACGTCCAGTGATAACCAGCAGGTGGCAGGCTCTTCACAGAAACATGAAAATACAAATACAAATGAAAAACAACAACTAAAAAAAGCTTGTGTGTGGCGTTTTCAGTTACAAATGTGAGTAATATTACATAAGGTCATTTTGAGGACATGAAAGCAATATTTGGTTAATCCTTTTTTTTTTTTAGCTTGAAAATCAGCAAGCGGCAGCTGACCCACCCACAAATGAAAACTTCCCTGCTGCTTGCTGATGTTTCCTATTTTTGACAATATTATAAATGACTTCTTCATCCTGTCAAGCATTTGCTCAAGCTTTCTTGAGGTGGTTCCAAAAACTGAATATGTATGTAAAGTATTATACAATATTTCAACACTCGGTGTCTCCGTGGGCAACTCACCCAGCTCTCACAACGACCCCTTTCACCCCTGCCACAGGTGGTGACCCCGTGGGAAGGCGGGCCCACGTTGTCATTTCGGACTGAGCCTTGGCGGGCCTCATGGGTGGGTGCAGGCCTCCGAGCCCCAACTCCAGCCAAAGTTAAGTCAGCATTTCATAAAATTTTAATATATTCCATTTTTTAAAAAAACTCTAAAAATGATTTATGAATGAATTTGTGATAGAGAACGATATCCAAGTATTTTGTGATCACCAAGAGGCCTTTAATTCAGTTGCATAATTTTCCTGTGTCAATCTAACATGCAAAGTACAAACCAACAATTCATATCCCAACATACCTCGATTAGAACGGACATGAGGCGGGAATACGTGACACCACCACCACCGCCATCATCATCAACTTTGCGTGTTTGTGGCCCAACAACGTCCAGGCTTACGTAAGCCCCCGACGGACGGGCAAAAAAAAAGCCCAAACACATTTTTAATACGCTGCTGCTGCTGCTAATACTCTGCAGGCAGAAAATAATCCACAAACATGGACGATGGGCGTAGGCAGATAATTGTGCAATTCCTCTGATGGATGATTGACAGCCTGCACTGGGCCGCTTTACATAAGAGGATTTGGCGCCGTCGGCGCAACTCTGTAGCCTTTTTTTAACATCCTTTTGTGCTTTTCAGCATCCCTTCGTCCTTTAGATCTGCCTTTGATCTTTTGGGATTTTTGTCTTTTGAGCTTGCTTTACAACGGAACACAGATGAAGCTACTTTGTGAGCTATGGATGTTTGTAATAATATTTATGTATTTATTAATATTTCAATATTCTAGGCTTAGCATTCTGGCTAAGATGTGTCAGAGGCCGAAACTGTTTTGTCATGATTTTATAAAGACAATATTCTGTCTAAAATAAGTCACTTGCCAGTCGAGCTCTTGATGGTCCAACCCGAACCAGCACAAAGTCAGCAGGCAGTCAGACCGGCTTCCGTCCTGCCTTCTAAGTCATGTGACCGATGGGTCACGTGACCCCCCTGACCTAAAGTGAGGGGCCCGGCGATTGGAAAGAGTTGAAGGGGGTTGTGGGAGTTGTAGTCCTTGTTTGTCTCAATATGCAGAGCGAGGCAAAAGCCTGGAAGAGAAGAAGAAGCAAGAAATAAGCACTCGCTGATCTTGTTTTTTTTTTTTTCCCTGTCACGTAAATACACAAATGATGATTTCACAAGCTTTGGTGGTAATTAATCAGATTCCACCTCCTAATCCGAAGTGATGCTCCCGTGGATCGCTTCAACTTGATGTCCCGCTTGCCCTCTGATTGGCTACTGTAACCACCAATCGGGATGCGCCTCCTCACATCATCTTCCTCATGACAACTCGGAAGAATTTGTCGAGTTATGATGACTGAAAAAGATCGGCACCCCTTCCCCCCGCACCCCAAAAACGTGTCATTGAACACATTGTGAGCACAAATTCCCTTCACCAGCAGCATTTTCACTCGCTCCAAGTCTTACTGGAAGCGTTCGCAGCCAAGCGTG